ACCATCTCTAAAAAGTTTTGCCTTCTTAGACGGAAAACTCTGTTCCCTTACAATTTCTCCAAGTCTGTTGTTTACCTCACTACTATTGCAGTCATTTTTCCCAGCAAAATTTTGAGATTTTTCCCTATCTTCAAAATGACTTACAAGCAGAGAATCAGTGTCCCTTGAGGCCACTGGCACAGACTGTGTATGAAATTGAGTTGCCAAGCCAATCCCTGCTTCTCGGTCTTGAGTGGTCATTTCCTTTGGATGATAGTTATCTGGACAAACAACTTGATTCTACACAAGATAAAATAAACAGAACTATCAGTTAGATTCTAACGACCCCATGTGAAACAAACAATTTCAAAAACATAGGCCCACCTGTCTAACACATTCATAGACCCAGTCAGATGTCACGGGAACTATTCCCCACTTGGAAGCTGCGTCATACTTAGGTCCGTGAGCAAATTTGCATAGCAAGTGAGTCACTTTTTTGGTTTGTCTTAGCCCAAATTTTGCTCCAAGAACAACGCACAAATTTCTCAGGAGAACTCTATCCTTCTCTTCATAATGTGAAACACAAAAGTGAAGGCTTTGAAATCCCGGCAAAGGAGTCTGGCAGGGAAGAGGCGAATAGAGGATATGACTACTAACATCAAGTAAGCAACCATCCTACATCACCAAGAAGACAGCTTAGGAAATAAGCCAGAGAAATAAAGCTCGTAAGGATAAAACGCAAGTATAACCGGTACAAAACAATTACAATGGATAGTTAATGTAGATATAAAAGGGTTAAAGAAATGATGGTATAGCAGTTAGAGAGAGTTCTCCACAGGATAGATAGTATAACCGGTCGAAAGCAGATGAGCACTAAGAAGAAGAATACCTCTAAACAAGATCGAACCCAGTGACTCGAGACATAAATAGTTTGGTTAGTCCCAGCACTCGTGAACATACCATGGCATTCAATAGTAAAATGTGTGTTCTTTATAAAAGGATCATTTACCACCTCACCCCCTCCTTGATTCACCCATTCCACCATTTCCGGTCGCTGCACAATAACGAATACATCAATCAATTGCCCTCAGAGATGCAATCCCAAACAACAAACCAATGCAAGACAAGGAAACCCTAATCTTCTAACAACCACTTACCAATTCTTCAGGATATGAATGTGAGAAACAAAATATCTTCCCCTTAAATACTGATGCCTTTCTTTCTTGCTTGCTCTGACCACTGAAATCAGATTGAATTTTCTGTTCTTCGCTTTTAATAGTTGCAAGGGAGTTGAGTGTTGCTTTTTGCTTGGGTGATATTGTTTTTCTTTCCAAGTGAATGTCATCTTTCCTGCCAACGTCCAGTACTGCTTCTTTATTCTTTCCCCCCAAAGCTGCTGCCTCGTTTGAGATATTGGTACTCCTTGAAGGGGAATCATATGCCATGGTCTGAGGAAAAGTGATTTTACCCTTTTCCATATCCGACATTCCTGCACGAGATCCCTTGGTCAAGCATGTAGAATCTGTGACAGAAAACGTGTCAGTTGGAGAAGTGTACTACAATGCATTGACATGTCTTGATGCATCTTGGATAAGGTGTCCGAGATAATTAAACAATAGTGAAATGGTTACCAACAGACCTCTTGGAAGAATCAGATTGTGAGCAGTATATATTTTATGAATGGGAATTTCTTTTTTCTCGCGATCACAGTCTTCAAGCCAATTGGGAGTAACTACATGAATGACACCGGAAGCTGCAACACTTCTAGCCTCCTTTTTCTCACTGTAAATAAATATTCGATGTAAAGATCATCATAACGTTACAGAGAATGTGCTTAAAGAGACCTACCTATCAGAATTTATTCAAAGCTACAAGAATATAAAAAAGGAAAAAAAAAGAGAGAATTTTACTTTGGCAGTGAAAAGATTGAGCTTACCTCTCAGAAGGAGTTCCAACAACAATATGTGTCATTCTTTCGCTAAGTATCATATACCGTGATCCACCACCTCTTCGGACCAACTTAACAAGTCTACGCATTTCAGAAGCTTCAAAACCAAGCAAGAAGATTTTACAATCTGATAAGTACAGGTCATCGTCTTCAAATTCTGTATCCCTGGCGGTACAACCATCAAGATTTTGCGCTTGCGGCTCTGTAGTTGGGTCTTTACATGGTTCTTTAACATGGCTACTGGGATTTATAGATGTGGAAAGAAGATTTTGTGAGGCACATGCTTCCATATCTGACTCTCTAGACTGAGCATAAGAAGCATACGAGTCTTCCGCAACAGCAGTCGAAGGTGATAGTGACACTGGACATCCAGAATTTTTTTCTTGATTATCATGTTTTCCTAAATCTCTCACCCCTCTACTCAAGGGTATGGAGCCCAGAACAGGATACAACTCTTCATTGAGACAAACTGCACATAACAGGGTGACATATGATACCAATATCAACTGAATCTGTTAACTTATAGAGAACATAATCAGTACGAGAATGTAAAGGGTGCATAAGAACCAAATTCACCTTTTCTAGCAATGGACTGCTCAAACCATTTCCGCGTAACAATTTGAATGTGACCCCATTTCCGAGCAACTTTATATTTGTCACCTTCCGGAGCGTATGCAACGTCAAGGACACAATTTTTCATTTAAGGAAACTACGAATTTTTGTGCCCAAGAATTTAAGCAAGTTTTAAGGCATCTACATTTCAACTATATTATGGTTATATTCACATTTCTTCACACTTTAGAGAACCCGAGTAGCAGACCTTAACTACGGCTAACTTATCCGCATAACTAAATGCACCAAAAATATGACCTATGATTAGCAAATTTTCGAATATTAATACAAAGGATATATCAGCGATCAGATGTGTGCACGTCTTTGTTAGCTCCCCAGAATACCTCCCTCCATTTTCTGAAATTAGCTTCTCCATTCCCTTACGCTGGTCTGATGATAAATTACTGATTAGCTATTAACAAAGAACCTGATTCGAAAATGTTGAACAAACCAGTTTCCTAACCTGCTGGAATTTTTGTGACACAGATCCTCAACCCAGAAAAAGGAGGAATCTTATATGGTTCCTGCGGAACCACACGGTGTTCATTCCAACACTGATGTAACCAATTCAGTGAAACAACCGGCTTCTTATGAACATACAGGGCCCACTGCAAGTTAAAAAAAATATATATATATGTTTAGTTGTCACAATGAAACAGGCATAGCTGGTTTCAACAGCTTCCTTAACAACTTCATCAGTTCGCTCTGCTTCAGGATATAGTAGGTAACGATTAGTCATCAGAGGCACAAAACTATTATAAATTAATTTCTGTAAAAAGAGCGAGTTGTTTCACTATTAAAGATAAACTTGCATTGGAACTATGTGTCATTTACAGAATGCGGCTACCATCAGAAAATTAGCAAATCAGAATGACAGCAACTTAAAATGAGGTCTTCAATAGTGAGCATGTTAAATCTTTCCTCTGGCATGAAAGTCTCTCTTCTTCTAACGACGGCACTATGTACAACTGGGAAACTGTAATATGCTCATATCCTAGTGCTTATTAGTGTGAAGTAAAACACACTGGAAAAATATTCTAGTTTACCTAACATAAGTCGAATAATCTTTGGAGATGCATAAACAGAAATATTACTATTGCTATGTCAACAAAGCAAAATAGATAAAAAAAAGAAATCGGTAAACAAAGCCAATGATGGTAATCTACATATGTGTGGACCTTAAGAAAGTAAAAGAAAATTGATGGCAAGCTTTGAGAAACAGACCTTGTATTTAGCAGCCAAGACGTTCTTAACAATGACGAAGTTGACATCTGAAGTTCTGGAAACCAAAACTCCCCCCATGGAAGTAACTAGCTTCTCAATCTTGACCTTGAAAACAATTGCAATCAACCAGTTATAAGAACGAGTCTTTGAAAGTAACAAAAAAAAACATTCTGAATATGATTTTTGTTTATCTCCATGCTTCTTAGTTGTTGTTACAGTGTGAGAAGACAGTTTCATAGACAACACACAAAACAATTCCTATAGAGAAGATGAAGAAGTACCTTTTCATCAATCTGAAAACCAGAAGCAAGAATTTTAAGACCATCCATAGCTAAACAACAAGTGAATCCTCCTTGTGGCAACGGCCTACCTTCTTTCGCACAAGAGAGTACACATTGTGGACCTGCATATAGCCTCTTCTTAAGTAACATCCACAAACACAGATTCAAGCGAGAAGAAAACAAAAAATAAACAAAAATCTCATCTCACCTATTAAGTTACAACCCTTAGCTTTAAGATCCTCGAACTTCTCCTGCAAAAAAATTACAAAACGAAGTTAAGAGCAGATTATTTTTTTCTACAGGCAAAATTGCAGTTGAGGAAAAATTAAAAATGCGCACGTGCTGGGGAGAAGCGATGACGTGGAAATCGGAGGGACTGTTCCTGGAGGGATCGCAGCAGAGGAAGATTTCGGCGCCGTTAAGCTTGAATGTGTCGAGAAGTGTGTCGAAGACTTCGGGAGGCACGAGGTTTCGGGACATGAATACGTTTGCCCCTTTGAATAGTTGCGTCGCCGTCTTCATCGTCGCCGGAAACCTAAACGGCGCGATTCTCTCCCCTACCTCGTTAATTCTCAAATAGCGAGGGTGAAAATTGGAAACGTGTAATCGGCGGATGATGGTGGATTCTCGAAGCGTCGGATAGGTCTATCGCCGGATTCCAACGAGAGAGAGAGCGGGAGAGAGACGCGGGAATGTTCACTGGTCAGTGAGATTCATTTCACATTTTAATTTGTCTTTGGGCTTTTTTATTGTTTTGTGAGGCCCATTATTACACTAAATTGGGCCTACAGTATATTTAGAAGAGACGGTTATGGCAAATTATAGATTTAGAAGCTTGTTAGAAGAGGGACCCACCATTTTTGTTCTTGGATTTCAAAAACTACAAAAGGCGAGGCTAGAGCCAAGCTTTGACTACAAAAAAAATAAGACTTAACAGAAACTAGGCCGTACTATACTTAACTAGGCAGGTTCAGGTCCAGGGGAGCATGTGGACGTGTCTGCTGCTTCATTGTGGGTAGGTGAGATTCTTCTACACTCTTTTCTTTCTTTTTTCTGGCTGTTTTTGCTTCTCCTGAAGGGTTGCTCGAGCTTGAGCTTCCTTTTAGTTTCTCATGTTTCTGCTTTGACTTGTCACGGGACGAGTCCATTGCAGGTTGAGTGTGGACTAAGGACGTGGTGTTCGCGCTTGGGAAAACACTTGTTTGGGGAAACAAGTTGCTTTGCTTATTGCAGGATTGTAAACATGTTCCCTCTTGATTGGTTGAGATAAAAGTCTACTCATTTGCCTTCTCAAGTTTTTCTAAATAACTAAAAGAAAAGGACTTGTTTAAGAAAAAGACTTGTTTATAAAGATTCCGATTTATGATTACGAGTGGGTATGTATGATAGTATATAATAAGTACGTAGGTTTGGTAGACTTAAATGATTTGTGACACTACGTAATAATGTTTCACCATTTATGCAAGTCTCTGATCAATCAATACTAATAATATAGTAGTGTTTGTTCCACTGTTGTAGCATTATGGAAAAGACACATGAAAAGCAAACATTATAGGAACGACTAAATCAAATTAAACCCCGTAATTAGAAGAAAAAAAGGCAAACAAAAATATCTTACAGTCTGTGGGGCTTGATGGACCACCTTTAGGACCATATTCAACACGGACACGCCCATAGATCTGAATAAGAAAAAAATATGTGCAACCGATCTTAATTTAAAAAAAAAAACCGATCTTAATATCTTAAAATAAATTGGCAAGGCATTTTTTAGGGAAAAAGATGGTGAGAGTTGCTTATTTTTTTGGACAGATGGTGAGAGTTGCTCAATGTAAAAAATAATAACTTTTTTTTATTGTAAAAGGTAAAAAGAACACGTATATGACTACCAAAAAAGTAGGAATATATTTATATTATTTAGTTCTTAAAGAAATATATTATATTCTTTTGTCAACAATCATTGGAATCACTGAAATTTAAATAATTAAATATATTTTAGTCCAATAGTTTTAAATTGAAAGGTACATTTTAGGATTGAAATCCTAAAATTTGATTTATCATTAATTATTTAGATGAATGGAGAGAACACTATAAGAGATGTTTATCACTTAAAAAAAATGACAAGTATTCACCACAAAAATTAACGCAAAACACCAGTTTAAGAAAAAGATCTGATAGTCCAAATAGAAAATTAACAAAAAAGAGAAGAGATTACTGTAAAATGAAAGAAAAAGGAAAAAATAAAAATCGAAAAGCTCTGATAAAAAAAAAAAAAAAAAAAACTGACGGCTTCGCGTTTGTCTCTTTCCCTTCCGATTCCATCGCAACTCGTCTCCGCCTCTATCTAATCTCTCTCTCTCTCTCTCTAGGGTTTTCTTCCGCTTCCTCGTCTCCTCAGGCTTACCTTCGTTGCCATTCGCTTAATCGCTAGCTCCTCCTGATTCATGAGGTTAGGGTTTCGTTTTTCCCTCTTCCAAATTTGATTAATTTAATTTATTTATTTATCCTTTGAATCGAATTAGAATCATAGAGTTTGATTGTCTGTCATCAATGTTGATACTTTATGCGTCTATTGTATTGGGTTTTGCCTTTTCGTTGACCTTCGATAACTGGATCACGTTGGGTTCTATTTAGAATCGTCTTTGATTGATTTATCTTAATAGCCTTTTTTCTAATAAAGCGCTGCGTTTTGTTTGCTTGTCCTAAACAGGTGACATTACGATGGATTGCAAGGAAAACGGTGTTAGTGACGACCGTTCTGGGTGTGCCGTCGATGAGGAAGTTGCTTTCTCTGATAAGGCTTGCGAAGATAGAGATTTAGAGACTCCACAGGGTGTGTCAGTTATAAACCCTATGATGGAGGAGGCTGAGAAGGAGTGCTTTGTAGAGGTTGAGCGAATAGGAGAGGGAAACAGTGTTAGTAAAGAAGTTGAGGAAGACTCTGATGCTGTTTGTTGCGTTGATAGTGATAGTCAGAAGCTAGGAGTGGTTTCGGATGAAGCTGTTGAGAAAAATCAAGGATCTGTTTCTGATGCTGGCACAGTATTGCCTATAGGGGTCGGTGAAATAGATGCTGTATCTGCGTTTTTAAATGATGTACCTGAACAGGTTGAGTCTTTGGAAACTGCGAAAGATATAGAGAATGATGAAGCTGGGAGTGATGGTTTTAATGGCACCTTTGATGGTGGAGGTAAGGAAGGAAATAGCGAACCATCGAGTGATCATGATGCTGGGGGTTTTGGCTGCAGTGAGACGGAGAATCATATGAAGTCTTCAAGTGATGTTGATGGAAATATGCCTCAAGTGGTATCCCCTTCATTAGGTATCACAGAAATGTTAAGTAATAATGATGGTGGCCTGCGTTCATATGATCTTGATGACATCGTAGACACAGAGACGATCAATCCAGATTTGAGGTTGGTACACGATGATGAGCTTCATACTGATCTTTCTGAAAAGAATGAAACACCCATGAATGGTATTGCTGCTGATCCGAGAGCTCAAAATTTCAGTCGGATTTCACCCATAGAGGAAAATGCCTCTGGTGTAGAAGCCAACGCCCCTATTACCAACCCTTCTTTGATGTGGAGTTTTCCATTGAAATTTGGTAATGGAGGCACTGGAGCTCGTAATCCTGAAAACGCAGTGGAGTCGGTCAGGATAGTAGATGGCAATGGCAGAATAGGTGGTGAAGTTGCTTCTGCATCTGGGACTAGTGAGTCTTCATCGCGAAGGAGGTCCCGAGTTGGTAAACAGGGTAACATTTCGCAGACCAAACGGAGTGCTCCTCATCCGAGAAAATCCTCTAGAAAGAAACAATCAGAAAGAAATTTGGAATCAATTTTTAATTGCTCGAAGCAGAAGAGGAGCTCTGTTCCAAAACCAGACCGTTCATCTCAGTGGGGATTACCATGTAGGACCGCTGAAATCTTCTTACAGAGCAATAATATTCCTTATGGTAGACCTCAACATCACGAAGCACAGCAACCTCAGAACCTTCCTAACCATGGAGAACTCAATAGTTCCAATAACGGATACGTAGAAGGATCTAACAGAAACATCCAAGCATCAAGTGGCTCTTGCCTTCGTTTGAAAGTTAAATTTGGTAAGTCAGGTAGCCAAAATCCCTTGAACATTACAGTCTCTAAGGTCAGTGGAAACTCTTTGCCTGCTGGTGGTATTATTAAGGCCGGAACAGGTTTAGAGTTTCCAGGGCCAGCACATGTTGTCGAGGATAAATTCCAAACTGTGGAAACAAAAGAGCAGCTAAACGAGAAAAACAATCCCGTGGAGAAACTTTCATGCCGGCTGTCATCTGATTCTGTTACGGATGAGAAAAAGAACCAAGACGCTGGGGGGTTATGTAGGAAATTAGGTGATGTTTTAGATGAGGGTACACACCTTTCCTCTAGTATAATAATGGTTGAAGAGTGCGAGAGGGCCACTGTAACCCGTTCCCTTGATGCTGAAACTTCACCAGATTCAGAAGTGATCAACTCTGTGCCTGATTCTACTGTCAGCAATGGACCTAAAGAGGATTTGCCTCATGTTTTTTTCAGCAATGCAGAAGACGTGGTCAATACAAACAGAGGATTAGAAAAACAAGATGAATTGCTTGCTTCAGTGCCTCCTTTGGAAAATGGTTCACATCTAATTCCCAACGCCAAAGAGGGTAAACATACTAAGTCAAAAGGTAATGGAACAAGAAAAGGGAAATCCAAGTCCAAGTCTGCCAAAGGCGGGAGAAAAAATGAATCTCATGAGGGGTTAGAGAAACACAACTTTATAAATAGGAGTGCTGGAAGTGATGATAGTAATGATCATGAAGTAGGAAGAGTGGAGTCTCACGAAACAACAGGTACGCCTCTTTTGATTAGCTCTAAGTCCGTTGTCTATACCCCTCTTGCACTATTTTATGTTAACCTGATGAGCGTGCCAATGTTTTCCATTTCTTTGTGAAGCTTCCACTCTTTTTAATACACAAATGATTAACTTGCATATTATGTGAACTCATGTAATAGGTGCTCGTTTAGACGCTGATATTGAAAAACTCAGTGCCACTAATGGCGCAATATCACAAGATGTGATTCATGGGGAAACGGTCACGGACCTTACTATTGAGGATAGCTCTTCCTCTGAGAGTGCATGGGTTCGATGCGATGATTGTTTTAAATGGCGACGAATACCTGCTTCTGTGGCAGAGTCAATTGACGAGAGCTCGAGATGGTATGTATGCATATGAACTTGTTTCGATGAAACTTCTAGATGAAAAGTGTGTTGCATATGATAGTTAATCTTATTAAGGTTTTGCGAATTTTGTGAATTTCTGTGGTTGTCCCGTTGCATCAAATATAACCTTTTATCAAAATTTCTATGGTGCTTGATAGGTTTTACTTGATATACTTGAGATTGAGTGTCAAATGTTTATAATAGATTTAGTGTCAAAATGCATTTGTACTTCTTGTCCGTAGCTTTTTTATGTCTTTCACAATTGCGACTTCGCTCATCTATTTTTATCTCTTGTAGTCTTTCTCTATATCTAATATGAATTTTCTGTTGTTTAAAGGATCTGTATGAACAACTCAGATAAAGATTTTTCTCATTGCTCAATCTCTCAAGAAATGTCAAACGAAGACATTAATGAAGAGTTGGGCATAGGACAGGATGAAGCAGATGCATATGACTATGAGGCGGCTAAAAAGGGGAAAGACAAGGAACAGAAGAGCAAACGTTTGCCAGGTGCTTAGAGTTCATTATTAGTTTACAATAGGAAACTATCATATCATTTTATATGTATTCAATTCTTAATTGTGTTTTTCTTACCCGCAATTATGCAGGTAACAAAAAGGCGTGCTTCAGGGCCATAAAAACAAACCAGTTTCTTCATCGCAACCGTAAAAATCAAACAATTGACGAGGTTAGTTTTTTGTACTTTTTATGTTGGTAATGATTTAGTAGAAATGTGTTTCCGCTGTCAGTATTGTCCTTTTCTATGGCTACTACTTAGTTATCATGCTTCCTTCTATTTCGGACAGATAATGGTTTGTCACTGCAAACCACCACCTGATGGTAGACTGGGTTGTGGAGAAGAATGTCTCAACAGAATGCTTAACATTGAATGTCTCCATGGTACCTGCCCTGCTGGCGATCTGTGCTCAAATCAGCAGGTGTGATGTCTTGTTTGCAAGCAAAAGCGTTACATTCACAGTCAAGTTATATCTTTCTCAAATCTTTTGACTCATATTTCTGCAGTTCCAAAAACGGAAGTATGTTAAGTTTGAGAGGTTCCAATCTGGTAAGAAGGGTTATGGCCTGAGATTGCTTGAGGATGTACGTGAGGGGCAATTCCTTATTGAATACGTTGGAGAGGTATGCTTCTGATGATGGTTCAACTTTGGGAGGATGTTATCAGTTGTAGATGGGCTTTTGTCAGCCTATAGTTTTTTCCGGATATGTGCTTTTCAAAAAAGCGTACGTATACTGTGAGTTAGCCAATAGATGTAACTATCATATGGATCATCTCCTTGTATAACAGGTGCTTGATATGCAATCCTATGAGGCTCGTCAGAAGGATTATGCTTCCATGGGTCAGAAGCATTTCTATTTCATGACTCTGAATGGGAATGAGGTAAACATTTTTCTTTCTAATAAGCCAGCTGCTTCTTTCTTCATCTTTGATTGAAATGGTTAGTGATTTTGCTGTTTAAAGCCTATGGAGTTCTTGAGTAAAAACTGTGAGATTGATAGTATTTTCGAGTCCACGACAAATTGTTCCCTGAATGAGTCTCTTTTTCTGATTTTAGATGCATATTTAGAGAAGTGAAGTTCCATCTCTGTAAACCTTTTCTGTTAAGCAATTTGCTTGCAGCTGTGGTTAATTATTTTTAGGTCTCTTATGTGATACACTTGTGCCAATTAAAAAACTTAACCTTTGCAAAAGTAAGCTGACAAGACTATCTTCTTCTCTTTGTGTCTTTTTTCGTCTGACACTCGTATGTATTTTATCAGTATCACCATCTTGCTTAAGCTCTAAAAGTAACAGATGAAAATGGCTTCAGAAAAGCCTATTGTATCCTTGCACATTTATTTAACTGGCATATGCGCAGAGAGGTCACCTCTGTTGATTGTGCTTGTAATAATTGCATCTATGTTGCATTTTGCAATAACTATTTAAGCTTTTTTGTTAATGCAGGTAATAGATGCTGGTGCAAAGGGAAATTTAGGGCGTTTCATTAACCATAGTTGTGAACCAAACTGCCGTACAGAAAAGGTGACTTTATACGCTCTTTGCGGTATCATGACTTATGGGTCATAGTCTGATTATAAAGTCAGTGATAAAAATCTGAAGAGAAAACTTCTTCCGGAGCTTGTGTGCTACTTTGTTACTTCTTCTGCTTTATTATGTTTTTAATTTTGTACCTATTAAATGTTGTTGCAGTGGATGGTGAATGGTGAAATTTGCGTTGGAATATTCTCCACGCAAGACCTTAAGAAGGTAGGTTCGCTCACACTTACGAATGTTATTTATGTATATTGAATTTCACTGGAAATTGTAAAGTCGAACGGCCAACAATTTTCAAAGGGTGTTCGATGAAAACACTATGGTGTTGTGGTCTTAAAGGGAACACATTAAATTAACATGTTAACATAAATACAAACGCCAAAGCCAAAAAGAATCAAGGTATGCTAATAGTAATAATTATGATTTTTTTTTTTTTAATTCTGTCTGTTGCTTTGCCAGGGTCAGGAGTTGACATTTGACTACAATTATGTGAGGGTTTTTGGTGCTGCTGCCAAAAAGTGTTACTGTGGGTCATCACATTGCCGAGGCTATATTGGGGGAGATCCTTTGAACGGTGATGTAGTTGTTCAAAGTGATTCAGATGAAGAAGAGTATCCTGAACTTGTGATCCTTGATGATGATGAAACTGGGGAAGGAATCTCAGATGCAATGCCTAGGATCTTCATCGATAGTGCTGACATGCAAATGCCACCACAGAATTCTGAAAAGGTTAATGATTCCAAAGACCTTGCTTCCCAATCGCCTAGCTCAGTATCTGTAAAACTTCCAGAGAGCGAGATTCTTCCATCTTTTCAACCAACCGAAGTATCGAAGGAACTTTCAGTGGACATGTCTGTCATCGATGTCCAGCAGGAGGTTCTTCTTGAAAAAAAGACTAAAAGCATATCTCCCACGCCCAGTTCTCTCAGCAGACTGGCCTCAGATGGTGCGAATGCTGATAAGACAGTAAAGCATGGATCTGGTGAAGATAAGAAGATAATTTCTCGATCCCGTCCTCGTATGAAAACTTCTCGTTCATCTGGTTCTAGTAAGCAAGGCAAAGGTACTCTTCCTGGTGTTAACAAAGCACAAACTACACCAGTCAAAAAGTTGCAACAGCAGCCCATCAAATCTAAAGGATCAGAGGAAGTCTCTCCCAGCGGGCGTATTGAAACATGTATGGTTTTAGTATTATTATACGTGAATTTCTAAAAACACCAAAATCATTCAGTCATACTCGCTAATAACACCACCAAATTTGCAGTTGAAGGGAAACTGAACGAGTTACTAGATGCTGGGGGAGGGATTAGCAAGCGGAGGGTAAGTTGCATAGCATTATCTTTTGCTCCTTTCTAAGGGTTCCTCTTACATCCTTGGCTTGATTCTCATTTTAATATTCCCCTCCCCCCCTATCCAGCAACATTACATTGCATATCTAAGTTTCTTTTTCTTTTCTTAAACAAACAGGATTCAGCAAAAGGCTACTTGAAACTTCTGCTTCTCACTACTGCTTCCCGGGGCAGTGCCAATGAAGGAATTCAAAGGTCTCCAAGCATTTAACCTGCTGATCTGAGTTCCCATTGTAGATTTATTACACTCTACTTCTGTTGCCTGAAATACTGTTTTTTTTTTTGTGAAACTATTGCAGCAATCGTGATCTTTCAATGATTCTTGATGCCCTTTTGAAGACAAAATCACGAATGGTTTTAGTGGACATAATCAACAAGAATGGTACGTCTAACTTCTTTTTAGTTTGATACCTAGGCTTGTCCTTTTCCTTTATTGTCTGAATATTTTTTACCTTGTAAAGATGAATTAACCTCCAAACACATCCAGGTCTGCAATTGTTACACAATATCATGAAACAATACCGGAGGGATTTTAAAAAGACCCCAATACTCCGAAAACTTTTGAAGGTACATTCCTTGTAACATGTTGCTTCTGTTTCTATATTGGTCAGAAATACACTTTGCACTTTTTAGTTAAATGATAATTCCAACCCAAAGGAAGTTCTTCTTTCATCTTTAGCCATTATGGTAGGAAATGACTGAGCAAAGTAAATACCAAAGAGTTTTAAGATTTCTAGCTAGTACGTTCTTAAATTCTAGGTTGCTGACTATCGATATCACTTTACTTTGCTTCAGGTATTAGAATATCTTGCTACAAGGGATATTCTTGCACTGGAGCATATAGTCAGACCACCTCCTCGTGCAGATGTGGAAAGGTTCGTAAATTTTATCAAGGTTATGCTGCCTGTCATTTTTTTTTTAACTTAATTTATATGACATTTCATGTTTATCTCTTTGCAGCTTCAAGGAGTCAATTCTAACACTCACCGAGCATGATGACAAACAGGTACCTAGCTTCCCATACACCCTTGTGAATTGTATTGATTCTTGAATTCTTTTGCACCATATGGCTTTTTATCTATATCTAATTGTTCAATTAATCCGTATTTTTGGACCTTGGTCAGATTTTCATCTGGGTTATAGCTTGTAGTTTCCAATAGGTTTCATGTTTATGCCTGCAGGTTCATCAAATTGCGCGAAACTTCCGAGACAGATGGATCCCTAGGCATCTTAGAAAACCTTGGCGCATGGACAGAGAAGAGAGATCGGAGTCTAGAAGGTCACCTATAAACAACAGATTCAGAGCTTCACAAGAACCTAGATATGATCATCATTCGCCAAGACCTGCAGAGCCATTTACCTCTGTCATATCATCAAGGGCTGCAACGCCTGAAACACCTTCTGTATCTGACGGCTGTATACAACCTACTTCCTCCAGCCTTCCCGAGACAAATGGACGCAAGCGTAAAAGCAGATGGGACCAGCCGTCTACGTCAAAAGAGCAAAGAACTAATGATGTCCAAGACGACCTTCCACCCGGGTTTTCATCACCTCGCACGGATGCGCCTAACGCAGTTACCGCACAGCCACAAGCAAAGTTCCTTTCTCGATTAACAGTCTCCTATGGAATCCCGCTTAGCATCGTCCATCAATGTGGTTCACCCTGCAAAGACGACCCCAATAGCTGGTCTGTTGCTCCTGGGGTGCCGTTCTCTCCTTTTCCACCTCTACCACCTGTTCCTCATGGTGAATTTTTCTCTAAGAGAAATGGAACAGTCTCTTGCTCCAATGAGCCCAAACATTCCGGTTGGAACATCTCAGGTGTCACAGGGACTGTCTCGGCTTCTCCAAACCGGAAGAGAGAGTTTTCATCTGATATAGGAACAAGTTACTTTCGGCAACAGAAACAGAACGTTCCTCCATGGATACGGAACAACGGGTGGGTGAAAACAGCAAACAGCCCCATACCTGGGGAATCTAGCTTTAGAGAAGAGCAGCAATCAAGAAATTCTTAACTTTAGAAAAGTACACAGTCCATGAAAGCTGAAACAATTCAGCTCTTGAATGAGAATTACAGTGATTGATTGGTTACTTTGGCCTCATAGGAAAGAAAGTCCTCTTCAGGGGAATCATGTGCTTTACTTCCCCTTTTCTATATATTCTAAATTCTTTCGTTTATGACCATAAGCATTAAAAAAACTTCATCCATGATTAAAAGTTACATTTCTCAATGTAAGAGCAAATCACATTCTTTATTCACATTACAAACTTTCTTAAATAAAATATTTTTGGTACAAACTTTTCTCAACTTTACAATGTTTTGTAAAATGAACATTCAAAGTAGGAAAATAAAACATGACAAAAGAAACCAAATCTTTTTGACAAATTCAATATTTTCTGAGCAAACTTCTGACTCTAACAAACATCCAAGTCTTTAAAAGTGTTGCATATTTTCTCCATCCATTAAAGTACCTTCCAATCACCTTCTTGTAGCTTGGTCTACTCCTCACAACCACCCAATACTCAGCAAGATTATTCCTGCTACTTATATACTCTTCTTCCAAATCCAATAGAGACAACCTAGCAAGCACAGGCACTAGCATCACATCAGCCATACTAAACTCATTCCCTGCTACATAATTAGTCCCCTCTAGCTTAGTCTCAACCTCATCAAGAAGCCTAAGCAAATGTTCTTTGCTTCTCCTCAAGGCTTCAGGGTCTTTTAGTTTGTCTTCTGTGTCGTAAGCTTCCCTTAGCTTCCTATGGTAAGCACTAGCCAAGTCTGGAGACTCAGCCATCCTTGCAATCATAACCATCCTCAAGAACTTGGAAACATAGAGGCGACGATTATCAGGAATGTGAGCAAGTGTGAACAGCTTGGGGTCCCATTCTCTAATCTTCCGCATCCATTCAAGAACTTCTCTACCAAAAGTAGCATCTTCTACACCTGAAGAAACCTCAGCTATTCTCTCCAAGTACCTACAAAATTTAATAACTTTTAATTACTATTACACAAAAAGGAGAATATTATAATTTATGGTAAGGTGACATACTCTATGATCTCAATAGTGTCCAAAATGATGTGAGAACCGTTCCTGAAAACAGGAAGTTTGGCGTTAGGATTCATCCTGAAAAAGGAAGAGTCCATGTGCTTGCCTGTGATGGGATTCACATGGTATGATGTGTAATCAATGCCTTTCTCTTCCAAAGCTAGTCTTACTCTTTGGCTGTCTAGCGAGTAAGGATGATGATATAACTGCATTGCTTCAGACCAAAGAACCAAAGTATTGTCCAAAAAAGCTGCAACATTAAAGACAATAAAACACATTCAAATCCAAACCTAAACTGTCATATTATACAAATAGACATATTCTAATTACATCAAAAGATCATCAACTGATAAACACTTAAACAAATTAAAACACCAAATTAACATTACATGAGACTCCTAATCTATAATAGCTTCCAAAACACACGAGGGTTAATACTTAATACAGAACAGAGCATAACAGATTCAATATGAAGCAAACAAAGAAAAGACAGGTACTTACCTAACAAAGGAGAAGACTTTCGAGAACAAGAACTGAATCAAAGCAAAACCCTTTCGTGGTTTCTCGAATTGAGGTGAGGATTCCTTTTAAAGTTTTGTCCTTTTCTCTCGTCTTTTGATGAAAGAAAGGAAGACAGAAGTTTTGTACTGTACAGCTAAGATTTCCTCTGAATTAATTTCGGAAAGTGCGAGTATCTAATTCTCAACCGCTTACGCGTTAATGTGTACTCGCTCTCTGATGCTGCCACGTGCTATGTGCGAACTGCTTTTAGTCAACTCTCTTGAGAGTCAAGCGCATTTAATATGGTTAATCACGCGAAGTCCCTCAAGGGTATATCTGTCTTTTATGTATTCTGCCAACTTCTTCATTATTTTCTTTTTACACCAACCTGAATTATTGATTCTATTATTGCATCTATATTACTCCTTTTTCTCATTATTTAAAAAGAAATGAAAAAAATAATCACTTTTAAAATTATTTTCTGACTGAAGAAACTCGTTTAGCTGGTAGCTCAGTAGCTGCTCGCAAAGTTTAATACCTTTGTTACAAAATAAAATATGATTCAATTGGGCCTAAAGATTGTCGAGAGATTCAGTTGTATATGGCCCAGTTTTAGTCATAGTTTATAAGCCCACTATGTCCCAGCGAATTATAAAATGTATAGCAGGAACTATTGTTATAAATATTAGCATTAAAATTTTAAAATATTATATTAACATGTATCTAAATTAGCAACGATAGGTGTATTAATTTCTTTTACGATTATTTCATGTCTTATGTTTTACATGTCTGTCAAAATGTTTGAGTGTAGATATGCAATACAACGTATACAAAAATATCCAATCGACTGACTACACACGAATATGTAAAAGATTGCGAGTATACTAATACTATTCACGTGCATGGACCAAGAAAAACACCAACCTCTAAAATAGAAGGGAAATAAATATAAGCATCACAATGTTGACAGGTAAAAATAGCCACAAATATTTCAGAGGTCTCATTCATCATAAATCTACTGAATTTAAGACCTTTTATGTTGCAACCACGAATTTGTCTTCTCTTGTCAAGTTTTTTTCGTTCATTAAATAGATTTTAATGCAGGCAGAAGCATCTTGCTACATAGTATCAGGTCCAAAAATAATCATAGATATAGAAAACATTTTAATTTAGAATAAAACGAGTCGAGTTTTTCATGGCTTTTACCTATAAGTTAGAGAAACATCAACATCATGCATGATTCATATTTGTTCATATATCGCAATCATGTGTGTTACTAATTGGTTTGTTCAGTGAAATCGTTGAATTTATCTATTACGTATCGAGGTGTGTAAATTATATTTAAAAAAAACTTATGTTAAAGCTCAAAACAAAAATACAGATTCCAGAGAAACTATAATTCTTCTTTTACGTTCAACTCTTTTTTGTGTGTGGCCATTCAGTGTGATACTGTATCACAATGAATGCATCTATATTTTAGACCAAAGACCAATGTTCGATGTCCATATTCACGTCGTCTTAATTATTAATTAATGAATACGATTAACTGTAGACGTGATCTATCATTGCATGGTATTGATTAAAGGAAATTTCATTATTTTGTTCACACTTAATTTTATTGAAGTGGCCTAACTCTGGTTTTTGGGGAAATCTAAAGTATTCCATTAATCTATAATTTACTTTCTGTAAAAAACGAGTCTTTGAAATGTGGAGTGTGATCATCATTTAGTTTAGTACTACATAGCACTAAGCCAATAAGCAAACATCGATAGTATTCTGATCCCAAAAATCATGCGAATTATTGGGACACGGTCTTTCAAATTCGATGTATTATTTACAATCTTACGACACAAGTCGTGATTAGTTAATACCAAAAGAAAATGATTGTGTTTAAAACTAACTAAATAAGGTTAAAGAAATAGAGATACGTAAGTAAAGATCAAGTGGCGTTGTCGTGGCGGAAACAAAAGCCACCAACTGACTAGTCCACGTTTCCCTTATCTTCCGGTTAATGTTTCTGACCTCTCAGTTTGTTGTCACTTTCATTATTTGATTAATAACAAAAACAATAGCTTTGTTTCTTTATTAAAATGAATAATACATTTCCTTAAGTCGAACCATAACAACTGAAAGTTACATCTAGCAATAATCTTTTAAATATAATCATATTTTAATATGTTGTAAATGTAAGAAAAGAGTGAGATCGAGAGATGGATAAATTAAATAGAGGGTAAGTTCAATGATTAATCTCCATCATGAGGTAGACGCTGACACATGCCTTTCGGATTTAGTTGACGTGTCGTTTCTCGCTTCTAAAACGGCAGGTATTCTGGTACTACTTCTCCCTCCATCTTTTTCTCCACTACCACCATAGTAACTAACCTTCTTCTCCGGTAATGATGATAGACGTAACAAACATAATTTGATATATTCATGCATGAGGGACGGCGTTAAGTGACGTTACTAATACTTTTGACGTCGTGTCGCCTCTTTGTTTAGTATATTTTTTAGAAATATTTTGCTTTACGTGTAACAGCTCGTAATTAAGCATGCTACATACAGTAATATATCATGGTTTTTCATTATATTTTAATATGTGTTTTCTAGTATTTTAAGATATTTTATGATAATGATGCCAAATTGTTATTTACAATTGTTAACACACATACGAAATAATATTTTCATTTAAGTATATATTATTATCCGTAATTTTTTTGTAGTATTATTATCCGTAAGTTTTAAGTTTATATATGGTCAGTGAAGTTATTTATTCTTTTGTTTTCATTTGATTGAAAAATGATAAGTAAATAAGTCAAAACTTCAACATTATTCTACAAATGGTGGCCCTAGTTAATAGTTCCATTTGCTAAAAAAAAAATTCTTCAAACATATTTCTATTTCATTTTTTTATTAACACCAACATTTTTTTATTTTTTACCATTTATACAACTATCAGTGAATTTTTAATCAAACCACTGGACTAATTAAGAACTTCCACAAATGAAATTAAGTATTTTATTGGATAAAAATATAATAACTATTTATGATTTATGTAAACATACTTTGATACTTATATGCCATTGTGATTGAATGCACACAAGAGACTATGTCAAAATTAGAAACTAATGATTTTAAAAATCTGAGTAAAATAAATACTATGAAGTACTACTAGGATGATGAAAGCCTTTTTAAAAAAAAAAAAAAAGTAGTACTAGTAGGGCTTACAAAAATCATTTATAAGAAAATGCAAAAAATAAATAAAAGAGAAGTAAAAGAACGATGGCTGCTAATCTCTGTTTCTCTCTCTCAAGAGCATCAAAAGCAAAACCAAACCTGCGGTTAAAACTTAACCCTCTGCAACAAGACAAAACAGAAAGAGAGAGAGAGAAGATCTTGTCTCTGTTTGGGATTATATATATATACAATCATTAACGATGTTCTTTTGTCTCTACGTCATCCAAAAAGGGAACATTTGAAACAAATCAGAGATGAAACAGAACTACATCGAGGAAGGACGATTAGGCCGTACGATTCTGGTAGGAGTGAAGCTAGACGCACCGAGCAGAGAGTTACTAACTTGGGCTCTTGTTAAAATCGCTGAGCCTGGTGATACTGTCATCGCTCTTCACATCCTTAACAACGGTACACTTTCTCTTAACAGAAGAAAGCTTTGATCTTTTTTTATGTTCTGTAATAAATAAAGTTTCGATTTTTATGTTCTGTAGTAATAAAGCTTTGATCTTTTTTTCAAAGTTCTGTAATAAAAAATAAAGTTTCGATCTTTTTTTTTTTTGTGTGTGTGTAGAGATTGTTGAAAACTCTTCGCTTCTCTCATTGGTGAAGACTTTCGACTCTGTTCTCGACGTTTACGAAGGCTTCTGCAATCTAAAACAGGTAACTAATAACTTCTGCAATCAAAAGTCTGAACCTTTCAATCTCAATACGTTGAAAAGTTTCTCTTTTTAATTTTTTTATTGTTATTAGGTGGATCTGAAGCTGAAGCTATGTCGTGGCAGCTCAGCTCGAAAGATCATATCCCGAGAAACGATGTCGTTTGGTGCTACGAAAGTCTTAGTTGGTGTCTCTAAAAGTCACCACGCGATTCGTTCATCAGCGTCTGTAGCTAAGTACTTGGCTAAGAAGTTACCAAAGGATTGTTGGGTTCATGCTGTGAACAATGGTAAGATTGTGTATCAGAGAGAGTGGTCTCCTTCATCCATCGTTAATAATCATTCTCAAGGTTTGTTTGACCTTTTTTTCTTGATAAAGTTTCAGCATTTTCTTGTTTGGTTTGTGTTTAGTGGTTTGAGTTGTGTCACAGGTAAGGAAGATGTAAGGAAGAGCAATTTGTTGAATGTGTTTCAGAGATCTGTTACATTAAGCACTACTTCCAAAGTTGTTAGCCATTCAGATGAGCAAGGTTCCAAGAATTGTTCGGTTTGTGGTTCGGTTTCTTTGTCTCCAAATAGTACAACTCCTCCTGTAAAGCTATCTGGAGCTGATGATGAGTGCCACATAGGTCTAGTTGAATCAGGAAGTTCTAAAACTATGTTGGCTAGGAAACAGTCTGAACCTATACCAGGTTGGCCTTTGCTTCGCCGTGTTTTCTCTTCTTCTTCAGGACAACCAGTTACATCTCATAGGGCTTCTCAATTGCCTTTGAAGCTTCCTCCCAGGAGCAGTAAACAGATTGGTTATGACTCTTCTGATAGTACATTGTCAAGCTTAAACACAGCTGTTTCAGTTAGTTCTAACTCTATCACCACCAATAAGTCTTCTCCTGACAATAGTCCAAGAAAGCTACCTGAGGAACTAGAAGGACTCTATGAGAGATTCTCTTCAGCAGCTTGCCAGGTTTTCAAATACAAGGAACTTGTTTCAGTGACATCAGACTTCTCCACTGGTGTGTTCTTCTCTCCTTTAACCATGACATAGTTCTTAAAACTTTGCTATGTAACTAAGAAAAGCATTGTGGTTTTTAGATAATTTCATCGGTATAGGAGGCAGCAGCCGAGTTTTTAGAGGCTGTTTATCCAATGGAAGAGAGGTTGCTGTGAAGATACTCAAGCAAACCGAAAATGTCCTGAATGATTTCGTGGCTGAGATCGAGATTATCACAACGTTAAACCATAAGAACGTGATCTCCCTTTTAGGCTTTTGCTTTGAAGACAATAACTTGTTACTTGTATACAATTATCTTCCAAGAGGAAGTCTAGAAGAGAATCTTCATGGTAAGCCCTTAAAGAGCTACTCAGAGATTCTATCATGATCATGGAATCTAAACAAAAGATTGGTTCCAAAAACAGGAAACAAGAAAGATCCTCTTGCGTTTGGTTGGAGCGAGAGGTTTAAAGTAGCTGTTGGAGTAGCAGAGGCATTAGACTATCTGCATAACAGTGCTTCACAACCTGTCATTCACAGAGATGTTAAGTCATCAAACATACTATTATCTAATGATTTTGAGCCACAGGTAAACTACAAACTCTATTATTTTCCATATATTATTAACAAATATTAAAAGATTTTAGTGATTCTTGTTTACCAGCTTTCTGATTTTGGGCTGGCGAGGTGGGCGTCTATATCCACAACTCACATAGTCTGCTCAGATGTGGCTGGAACCTTTGGGTATGGTGTGTTTTATGAAAGTTCTTGAAAATGTTTTTTTTTTGTGCTTAATCTTGTTTTCTTTTGATGCAGCTACTTGGCTCCAGAGTACTTTATGTGTGGTAAGGTGAATGATAAGATAGATGTGTATGCATTTGGTGTTGTTCTACTTGAGCTACTTTCTGGAAGAAAACCTATTAGCAGTGGATGTCCAAAGGGACAAGAGAGTCTTGTCATGTGGGTATGTGCTTGCTGCATACACTTTTTAGACTCATTTAAAACCAAACTTTTCTCTCTGCTCTTATGTAATGGTCATGAACAGGCTAAACCAATTCTAGACGATGGAAAGTATTCTCAGCTATTAGACTCGAATTTGAAGGATAACAAAAATACTGACCAGATGCAGAGGATGGCGTTAGCTGCTACTCTTTGTATTCGACGTAGTCCTCAAGCTAGACCCAAAATGAGCATTGTAAGTCATGTTTTTGTTCTTCTTGTGATAGCTTTATGCAGTTGTCTTAACGAATATGGACTGATGCAGGTCTTAAAGCTACTCAAAGGCGATGATGAAGACACACTCAAATGGGCAATGCAACAAGTGAGTAGTTCCTCAGATGAATCAGAGATGCTAAAGGATGAGCAATGTCAAAGATCTAACATGCAGTCACACCTTAAAGTAGCGCTTCTTGATGTTGAAGATGACTCTCTCTCCATGGGAAGCTTCGACCAAGGCGTCTCTGTTGAGGATTATCTTAAAGGCAGAAACTCCTTCCTTGACTGAAACTAGAGTTGTGTGTGTTTGTATATATATGGGCCGTGGTGGCTTTGTGGGGGTTCTTTTTAGTGTTCATTCACTCTTCGTTCAGGGTGTAATTGTAGATTTCAGTTGTTTAGAGGTGTGTTTTTGCAATTCTCATCTTATTGGGGATACTTCTTATAGTTGTGCTATAATAAAACCAAAGAGAAAAATCCTTGCAAGTGGAACCAAAAATTCTTATTATTTGTCTTCTTTAGAAACAAAAATAAAGAGATTCTGTTATTTTTCTCTATTCTAATCTTCAATGTGATTGACAGTAACGTAAAATTTTTTAATTTCTGTATATGTACATACTTTAGTTGGGACTAATGCACCATTGAAAGGCACGTGAGTGAACATGTGGTTATATACCAAATCTCTAAAGTCAGCAAGTCAAAAGAAGAACCATATATAATCACTCTCAACCTCAAACTATACAATTAAAGAAAAGATTTGTGATTCTATAACCATATAATCTAAACCAGATTCAAGTCTCTAACTAAAATAACTTTCTTTTATTAATTAAAAAATAAAAAGATAAAGCTCTAGAATATAAAAAAATCAGTTTTATAGGTTACTTCCAGGTTGTAATTAGGTCATCATTATATAACGCTTACAAAACTTCTTTCTTTACTTGTGTTCTGTTTTTTTCTTCCATTGTCTTCATGCGAGTAGTAATCCTCGTGTTTCGTACCTTCACTCACTCCCACCTCCCCCACGTGTCTCAACCTCCTCCTCCACCTCCCTCCCTCCTCCGTCTCCCCACCGTCGCCGTCGTCTGATCATCATTACCTCCCTTTTTAAAAAACTCTGTTTTTAATCTTCGAAGTGCTCTGTTTTTAATCTTCAAAGTGCTCTGTTTTTTTCATCACCGAGACGATGAAACTCTCCGACGTTAGATTAGACATAGTAAAAACGCCGAGATTGGTTAAAGTCATCGCCTTTGCTCTCATCTCAATCACAACCATCTTCCTCTTCAACCACTTCTCTGATTCCTTCTCTTACCCTTCTCTCCTCTCCTCCGAAACTCTTCAAACCAACGTCTCCGCCGTCTCTCCATCTCCTCCGTCGCGTCCTCGTCTCAAGATCTCACCTCCACCTCTCCCACCGACGGTGGTCCGGACGGGAATCATCGACGAGAATGGCGCCATGTCGGACACCTTCGAGATCGGAGTGTTTGATCCCGACACCATCGATGAGATCAAGACCGGAAACTCCTCGTCCGGAGACGGCTCGGAAGTTCCGTTTCGGGTTGAGAAGTTTAGTGTGTGTGATAAGAGGAAGACGGATCACATTCCGTGTTTAGACAATGAAGAAGAGATCAAGAAGTTGAATGGTACAGACAGAGGAGAGAATTTTGAGAGGCATTGTCCTAAGGAGAGACTTGGTTGTTTGGTTCCGAAACCAGATGGGTATAAGAAACCAATCCCATGGCCACAGAGCAGAGACAAGGTGATGTAGTTTCATAAAGCACTTTCCTTTACTTCCAACACCAATGTTCAAAAAAAAATTGCTAGGGGGTGATTAGGCGCCTTATAGAGAATTATTGTGTAGACAGTGTAGGGCCTTAGACTGAGTTTTTGAAAGAAAAATTGTTTGGTTTAGACGCGATTTGTAGATTAGGAGGTCACCTAGGCGATTAGACCGCCTAACTATTGTGTAGATGGTCTAAGCAGGTGCCTTAGACCGACGACTGAGTTTTTGAAGGAAAAATTGTTTCGTTTAGACCCGATTTGTAGATTATTAGGCGGCCACCTAGACGACTAGACCGATTTTTAGAACATTGCTTCGGTCATATTTTGTCTGATCCATTTGAGATTTAGTGTAAAGTCTAAATTTATTTACTAATGTGGTTTCTACTGTTAGATATGGTTCAACAATGTGCCTCATACACGCTTAGTTGAAGATAAAGGAGGTCAAAATTGGATAAGAAGAGAGAAAGACAAGTTTGTTTTTCCAGGAGGTGGAACTCAGTTCATACATGGAGCTGATCAGTACTTAGACCAGATCTCTCAGGTTTTCATTCAACCACTCTACGTTTGTGTTGTTATTACCTCATCCTGGTTGCAGTGTTGATCTTATATTGAAATTTTTTTGTAGATGATTCCCGGCATTACATTTGGAGAACGCACTCGTGTTGCATTGGACATTGGCTGTGGCGTAGCGAGCTTTGGTGCATTTTTGATGCAGCGCAACACGACAACGTTGTCTGTAGCACCTAAAGATGTACATGAGAATCAGATACAGTTTGCTTTGGAGCGTGGTGTCCCTGCAATGGTGGCTGTCTTTGCTACACGGAGGTTGTTGTATCCAAGCCAAGCTTTTGAGATGATCCATTGTTCAAGATGCAGGATTAATTGGACCAGAGATGGTTAATCTCTCATTACTTTTTTTTTTTTTTGCTTCTTCTATAATGTTTTTATGTGACAAAGGTTTATGTTTGGTTTGAATAACACAGATGGGATACTTCTTCTTGAAGCTAATAGAATGCTTAGAGCAGGAGGGTACTTTGTTTGGGCTGCACAACCTGTTTACAAACATGAGGATAACTTGCAAGAACAGTGGAAAGGTCTGTATATTAGTTAAAAAATATTATGTCAGCTCAATGTTGAAGAAATCATTAGGTGTTTTATATGAGATTATTGTATATTAAGACTTGACTGCTATGGAGACTTGACTAATAAAAGAGTGTTGTTTCAGAAATGGTAGATCTTACGAACCGAATCTGTTGGGAGCTTATCAAGAAAGAAGGGTACATTGCTGTGTGGAGGAAGCCTCTAAACAATAGCTGCTATAACAACCGTGAAGCTGGAGCCAAGCCTCCTTTGTGCAGACCTGATGATAATCCTGATGATGTTTGGTACATAAGTCTCATTTCCACTAGTATTGTGTCTTCTTGCAACTCTCTAAAAAATTTATGAGCTTTGTGGTTTCTTGTTTTCAGGTATGTGGATATGAAACCATGCATCACTAGATTACCTGAAAATGGCTACGGGGCTAATGTCTCTACATGGCCTGCACGTCTTCATGATCCACCAGAGAGGCTGCAGAGTATTCAAATGGATGCTTATATATCACGGAAGGAAATTATGAAGGCAGAGTCTAGATTTTGGTTTGAAGTGGTAGAGAGTTATGTGAGAGTTTTTCGATGGAAGGAGTTTAAGTTCAGGAATGTTCTTGACATGAAAGCTGGCTTTGGAGGGTAAATCATCAACCACATAAGTTTTTGTTACTGTCATATCGAAGTTTGTTTGACCTAAGATTACTTCTTGTAGGTTTGCAGCAGCATTAAACGATCTAGGGATTGACTGTTGGGTTATGAATGTTGTTCCAGTAAGTGGATTCAACACGTTGCCAGTTATCTATGACCGGGGGCTTGTAGGGACTATGCATGACTGGTATAAGAAGACACTCTCTTTACTTGTAATCCCCACATAACTTACATTCTAAACTCTTTGCACTTTGGTTTCTCTCTAGGTGTGAGCCGTTTGACACGTATCCAAGAACATATGACTTAATTCATGCTGCATTTCTCTTGTCTAATGAGAAGAAGAGGTAAGAACTTTGTTTCTCTATGATTGTGTTGAACTCAGAGAAGTAATGAAATGTGTTTTGGTGTGGAACATAACATAGGTGCAACATAACAAACATAATGGTGGAGATGGATAGGATGTTAAGACCAGGAGGAAAGGTTTACATAAGGGACTCACTGTCTTTGATGGACCAACTTCAACAAATAGCTACAGCCATTGGTTGGAGAGCTGGTATTCATGATACAGGAGAAGGACCACACGCAAGTGTTAGGATACTAATTTGCGATAAAGGTGGGATTTGAGAAAAGGATACAAACAAAATCCTTAATTGGATGATAAGTCTGCTCAAAGCGACAAGTAGTAGTAGTTTTACTGACCGATGATGATTGCTATGTTGTTTTTCTTTCTTTGTATAATACACTTGAGCACATTTTAACACTAAAAAGAAAGTTGAGAAACAAAGATTTATCTTCTCAGATCAAGTAACATTGACAAATGTACACTTGTTAATAGCTAGAAGTAGTCATGGGCATCAATCCAAATTTTCTTAATCTAAAAGAAAAATTTCTATAAGAACCGATATGTATAGATCTAGTTTAAGAATTGTAGTGAATTCCTAGAACTATGATTTTATATATCCTCTATGTTTTAATATATGATTTAGTTGTAGTGAATTTATATTTGTAATTTTCAAGTAGTATATAAACTTTAGTGTTTAAAGATGTTAATTTCAAATATTTTGTTTTTTCTGCACAATTTCAGATAAGTTTAAGCGAATTTCAAATAAAATAAATTGAATGATACTGGTTTTTCCAATAGTACAGTACTGTATATAACATTTAGCCCCAAACCAACCTTAGTCGATTAGAACTAGTTCGAAATGGAAATGAAAATTTTATGTGTATATAAGTTTCAAATTTCTATATCCGAAATACTCAGATGTAAAATTGATCTTAATTTAAATAGAAAACTGAATGTTGATATCTTACCATAAATATAATAAAACATAAAATCCTTGCTCTTTAATCAAATACACTTTTTGTTAAGTAAGCACATTTACGACCAAGTGCAACGGTTGGACGGGGGACGCCGTTAAACCACCTTTCAAATTGACTTCCACGTGTCAGTTCCACGTCGCTGAAAACCGGTTTCAACCGGTGTAAGTGAGATCCAAAAACCGGTGTAAGAGACGCGTAAGTTTATTTTTAAAAAAGTGTTGGTTCAAAGATAAGAGAAAGCCGCGTGGGAGAGAGAGATTTGCAGAACCACCACCGTCCCGAGTCTCCGGCCACCGATCGGAAAAAAAAAATCGAACCTTTTCGCAACTTTTCTTCTAGGGTTTGCTCACTCCGGTACGCTTTTTAATTACTCCTTTGTCTCTTGTTCTCTTCTTCTCGCTAGGATTTTGAATTTGGATTTTTTTCTTCGTATCGTCTCTCGTAGTGTTTGAGATGAAAGTTTGTGGGAGAAATTGAAGGAATCTTATGAAATTGATGACCCAATTGATAAAAATGTAGACTTTTCGTCTTTGGTTGTGTTGAGGATTGTGAAATGTTTTTTTCTGTATTGTAGGATGAAACCCTAGATTATCCAGAACATTGTCGTTTTGAAGATGTTGACAAGTAATGGTGATGGTATAGAGAGTATTCAGATTGATGGTACTCTGAATAGTTGCGGTGTAGGAGGGAGTGATATGGCTAATGCAAGTTCTAGAGATGATAAGAACTCTCACATTTGCAAGAGGAGAAGGCTTGAGAGCTCGGTTTCTGGGATGGATGAGATGGTTTCTACGGTACTTTTCTCTTGAATTTGTTATATTATGATGCCTCTGATTGTGCTTGATTTGTACTGCTTGGAGTGTATGTAGTTGTTACAACTTTTGTGTTATGTAAATGTTGATTGTATTGCACAAATCTAGTGGTGATAAGTAGATGCATTAATGCTTATTGTTAGCCTCAATTATGTGTTATGTAAATGTTGATTGTTATTGCATATTAGGTATTCAATCTAGTGATTATGAGGATGCTTCAATACTTAATAGTAGCCTCATCTATGCAGCATGTTGGTGATGGACTTAAAACCTAAGGGCTATTCAATTCAAGTAACCATTATTCGGTTATGTAACTTTTTTGTTTTTTCTAGACGACATGAGTGTCTTGTGTGTAATAGCTAGATTCAGGAAATGCTTTGAGAACCTGAGAAGTGCTTTGAGAACCTGAGAAGTGTTTGCTGCATTGTGCAAGTGATCCTGAAATTGGTCTCATTATATTTGTGTGATGAAACTTCTGTGGCCATGATTTACTTTCACGAATATCCTCATAAGACATGCTAGCTCGTTCTTGTTTTGGATTATTGTATTCATTAAGTTTCTTTTGAACAGGAGTCTGTCGCTTGTGAATTGAATCATCAAAGGTTCAGCGGAAGAACTAATCTCAATGGTGGACTTCCCGAGCTTTCAAATCCAGATGAATCAACAATCGAACCCCCCAAGTATGAGACTGTGACAGCTGGTTGCCAGAATGTTATGGCTCGAGTTTTAGCTTCAAAGGAGTTTGCATCACTAAGTCAGTTGCTTTCCAAAAATCTTCAAGGGGTAAAGATTGAAGACCTTGCGTGTAGAACTTTGATAGACACCAGGCTGCAAGAGGGTGCTTATGAAGGTTCACCTGTACTCTTTTCAACGGATCTCCAAGAGGTAACTATTGGAAACTCTTGCTTAGTCTGAAGAAAACTATTCATTTTAACAGATTGTGATTAACTCAATCTCTCTAACTTGAAGTAATGTGATTGTGTTTTCCTGAAGATACTTTGCGTTAGATTAGTACTTAACCCTAACTACTGATTATAGGTCTGGAAGAAAATACAAGATGTTGGTAATGAGATGGCTGCTCTTGCTGGTAGTCTCTTAGAGCTTTCAAAGACCTCCTGTACCGAACAGGTGAGGCTCATGCTTTAATGTTCTTCTTCAATTACTTTATATTATAAATCCTCTAATGTCTTTTTTTCCTCTAAATCTGGAAGTTGAAGCAGTTCAACACTGTGGAACCGAAGCCTCATCCGAATGTAGAGATCACCAGAAATGACAGTGGTTTTGACGTTTGCAAGCTATGTGGACAGAAGGCAGCGGTCAGGGACTGTTTAGCATGTGATCATTGTGAAGATATGTATCATGTCTCATGTGCACATCCTGGTGAGAAAGAGATTTCGACGGAAGACAGTTGGTATTGCCTAAACTGCACAGCTAATGGATTCGGATCACCTCACGAGAATTGCCTAGTGTGTGATAAAAAGAAAACCGCAAAGCTGATAAAGACAGATAATGGATGTGTTAATATGAGTACAGAATGTAAAGAAGTCTCAAACGAATCAGAAGAGAATTCAAGCTGCAACATGAATCATGAAGATCACAACGTGGAGACGATGATAGATCCTGAACTCTGCAGGACCTGTGGAACAAAAGTGGAGAAAGGCGACGGCAGGTTCATCACATGTGATCACCCGTTTTGTCCACACAAGTATTACCACATCAGGTGTCTAACTTCAAAGCAAATAAAAGTACACAATGTTAGATGGTATTGCTCCTCGTGCTTATGCATAAACTGTCTAACTGACAAGGATGATGACAAGATTGTCTTGTGTGACGGCTGTGATGATGCTTACCACATCTATTGCATGAAACCTCCATGTGCATCGGTTCCAGATGGAGAATGGTTTTGCACAACTTGTAAAGTTGCTATTCAGAAAGTGCACAAAGCTCGAAACGTGGTTGAGAAGAAGATGGGGACTTTGAAGAAACAAAAGGGGAGAGAAACCGTGAGCAAGCCACCACCAAGTAAAGGCAATGGAGGATTGGATAACAGCGTAGGAGGAATGGATATGCTTTTAAATGCAGCTGACACATTGAAAGATGAAGAACAGATGACTTCCCTATCCAGTAAATGATGGATTAGATAAGAAAAAAAATCAACAAACAGGCAGACTATACGTTTCTTGTCTCTAAAAACTTTTTTGTTTCTTTGTTCATCTTCTTAACTTTTCTAAGCAGGACAGGGGATTCTGAAGATAACATGTTTTAGGATTTCATTCTTTTAATCAAAGCTTCTATTGTAATGGTGATTTTGCACTCTGCTAAACTTTATAATGAGCTAGTTCTTGACCAAAGATATGATGCTTCATAGAGTGGTTAATTTAATGGTTTGAATCCAGAGAAGTTCCAGGAGACGTTTAAGAACATGTACAACTATTGTAACATGATCTAGTCATCAACTTGAGAATAGTATATGAATTATAACGTATAAAAATGTATATACGTGTATATTAATATATTAGGTGTGGCATTGAATAAATAGTACAATTCCTAGAAACTAAACATGGCCTGTTCTGGCCTCACCATACTCTTAAAGATGCAGTAAAAGTATCAAATGAAGAGCACACAAGCATTGCCATAGATATTTAGGTGTTACTCTTTCTTATATTTTTGTGCTGAATGTGCATAAAAATGTAGTCTTCTTGGCATGCCTTAACTCTTTCTTAGTAACTCTTTTTCTGCAATACGGTTAGACAAATATTGAATCAGGTTTCATTCAAAGTTCAAAAAAAATTTACGTACAAATGTTCTATGCAATTTCGGTATTAGGAAATTTTGAGATGTTTCCATTTTTACTATACCCCCTTTCATTCCAAAGAACCTTTTTAGGGTTATCCACCTGAGTAGACGATTATACGTCACTATCTTTGATCGATACATGTAACCTAGAACATACACTTTTTGAACTTAATTTCGTATTTAAATTGCAGAAAGAAGAGAAAACCATACAACCCAATGGGTAGAATATTTAGAGCAAAGCCCAGTTAATAACACATATCAAAGATCATAATAGCCCAAAACAAGAGAGCTTTTTGAGCCCAAGAAGAAATGTATCATTGGGGAGATCGAAGGTCTTCATCAGACGGGAGAGGAGCGATGAAACCTAAGGATACAGACGTTAGCCATGCAAGCCACTGTTGCATCATAGATGAAGAAAGTCTCGGGTTACCTAGAACATACACTTGCATATTATTTTTTGTGTACTCATTTATTTAGTGAGGTTTGCTAAGCCAAAATGACACAAGAGAATGGTTAAATATGGGATAAACATCAATGGCAGATCTAGGAACATTTTTAACCGGAGATCATATCAAAATTTGTGAATTAGTCGAAGATATATTCATTTAAAATTTAAGCTATTATTTAATGAAAATTAATACGTTGTCTTAATTACATAAAGAAAAACAAAATTTAGCTGGGGCATGCATCCGCCCCCTGATAAATACATATCCCCAATTCCATGCATGCATGTGTTCACGTTCAGGTAATAGGTATTGGTTATTACTACTAACATAAAACATCCGACGACTATGTCGTTTTGTCTTAACAATCTTCGAAATAAAGATACATCTGACATCTCAATAGAACAGTTTCGCAATTTGTTACATGCAATGTACCATATTTCAAATTTAAGGTTGCGTTTCCAAACTTCCACTTTCCAACAACCTTTGAGCATTAACAAGGTCGTTGAATCAATTTACTATGTTTGTCGGTAGATATGCACTTACTTCTTGTTATAATATCTTTCTTTTTATGCAAATTATTTATGACCTCTTGTTTAAATTGCTTAAACTCCATTTGGGTTTTACTACAATTTACATTACTTTACAACTTGTAATTCTAGTATTAGCTTAACCAACAAATATTTTATTTGATAAATCCTATTGGCTGATCCGGTTGATCCCGGGAGGAACGCACTTAGTGTTATAGAGTGGACTGGCTATCACACCGTCTGACCCGAATTTAGGATACCTTCCGACTAATGCCAGAAGATGAACCGATCATCTGTTACGACCACCATGTAAACCACTTAACCAACAAATATAATACTGCAAGATAATGATTCTTGTTTCACCTAACCAATTAGAAACAAAATCTTTGATATAAATATTTCACCAATGCCATATCAAAAGTAAGAACTCAAAAACACATTTGTAGTCATATAATAGTTTCAATTATGGAACTTTTACTCCCACACCCTTCAAACTCATCACCACTCACTGTCCTCGGCTTCTTAGAACGAGCCGCCTCAATCTACGGCGACTCACCTTCCCTCCTCCACACAACCACCGTCCGTACCTGGTCCGAAACTCACTCCCGATGTCTCCGCATAGCTTCAACTCTCTCTTCCTCCTCCCTCGGAATCAACCGTGGCCAAGTCGTATCCGTTATTGGTCCCAACGTCCCTTCCGTCTACGAGCTTCAGTTCGCGGTTCCAATGTCCGGAGCCATCTTAAACAACATCAACCCTCGCTTAGACGCTAACGCACTCTCAGCCCTTCTACGTCACAGTGAAACAAAGCTCGTTTTCGTCGACCATCACTCGAGTTCTTTAGTTCTTGAAGCCGTCTCGTTCTTGTCCAAGAACGAGGAGAAGCCACGTCTCATCCTCCTCCAAGATGACGTCAACACGACGTCATCTTCTAACGTGGAGTTTCTAGACACGTACGAAGGTGTTATGGAGAGAGGAGACGAGACTTTCAAGTGGATACGTCCTAACAGCGAGTGGAACCCAATGGTGCTTAACTACACCTCCGGAACGACGTCGTCTCCCAAAGGCGTAGTGCTTAGTCATAGAGCAGTTTTCATGAGTACTATTAACTCTTTGCTTGACTGGTCTATGCCTAACCGGCCGGTTTACTTATGGACCTTACCGATGTTCCACGCTAACGGTTGGAGCTATACATGGGGCACAGCTGCTGTTGGGGCTACAAACATATGTCTTAGAAGAGTTGACGCAAAGACTATCTACGAGTTGATAGACAAGCATCACGTGACACACATGTGCGCTGCGCCGACGGTTCTCAACATGTTGACAAACTATCAAGCTAGGAGACAGCTTAAAAAACCGGTTAGGGTTATGACAGCTGGAGCTTCTCCACCGGAGACGGTTATCTCCAGCGCTGAGAGTCTTGGTTTTGATGTGGGACACGGTTACGGGCTGACGGAAACTGGTTGTCTGAATGTGTCTTGCGCGTGGAAGCCAGAGTGGGATGGTTTAAGAGAGTGTGAGAGAGCAAAGGTGAAATCAAGGCAAGGGGTTAGAACAGCTGTGTTTGCGGAAGTTGACGTGAGAGACACGGTAACTGGTGAGAGCGTGAAGCATGATGGAGTAACGGTTGGAGAGATTGTATTCAGAGGCGGTTCTGTTATGTTGGGATACTACAAAGATCCTGAAGGTACCGCGGCGAGTATGAGGGAAGATGGGTGGTTCTACACTGGAGACATGGGTGTGATGCATTCTGATGGTTACTTGGAAGTCAAGGATAGGTCAAAGGATGTGATCATATGTGGAGGTGAGAACATAAGCAGTACGGAAGTTGAGACGGTTTTGTGTACTAACCCTGTGGTTAAGGAAGCAGCTGTGGTGGCTAAACCAGACAAGATGTGGGGAGAGACACCGTGTGCTTTTGTGAGTTTGAAGTGTCATGATGGGGTTGTTGTGTCTGAGAGAGAGATAAGGGAGTTTTGTAAGAGGAAGCTGCCAAAGTATATGGTTCCAAGGGATGTGGTTATTCAGGAGGAGCTTCCTAAGACTTCTACTGGAAAGATTCAGAAGTTTGTTCTAAGACAAATGGCTAAGTCTATGCCTTGATGAAGAAACAATCTTTGAATTGTTGTTATTATTAGACCAAGTTCTACTCTCTACCTAAAGTACAAGTCTCTGGTTCAATAGTTTTGACTTTGTTTTCTTGTCCTGATGTTTGAAGATGGTCTATTTTCATTATTATTAAGTGTTCTAAAAATAAGTTTATACACAGTTTAAATGTCTGACCAGAAGTTATACACTTTTCAATATAGATCAGATCCGGTTAGACGGAGTTGCTCCTCAGAAAATCGGTTTGTATGACTACCATTTGATCTAATTTAGACAGATGGTTGACAAAGAAAAAGATGTGTGACTAGAGAAATTTAAAAGAGACGATTTTCTAAAATATTTTTTTATAGAAAAACCGGTACTTTCATTAAAAAATATTTTTGTCTAGGCGTCTTTCTGATCAATAATATCATATAACACATTTAACTACCTATTAAAAATTCTTTTAACATTGTTATTAGTTGTTTTTGCAGCTTGTACCTTTCTGGAATGGTAATAACTCTCCATCTTGAATGGTAGATTCAAGAAATGAGGACACAACATGGTAGTTGGCTCACAACAAATTCCAGGATAAGATTCTTCAACCACAACAATTTTATATTTTTTTATCTGTCATTAACGAAATACAGATTCTAACTTCTCGATAAAGTTGTATAAAAAGTAGAGAAAAACTAGTTACTAGTTAGTACCAATCTGTTGTTATGTAAGTAACCCTGACACATCAGCATCATCATCTCATAACATCTACAGCTTCTTTGTTAAGTGGTCATGAAGATGAGACTTTCAAAAACAGGCATTCATCTTCAAAATTGTGTTGTGTTCACCTTCGCATTCTAGTCCACAGTCCCGAGGCTCTAGACCGGTGATGCCTTCCTAAACCACTGTCACTCACACTCCCTCCTTCATGGAGATTCTCATGAACCTCTGAGAACTCTTTCGTCCATGGATTCAGTGGAATCACATATGAATCATCCTTTGTCTTCTTCTTCTTCTGCTCAAACCTTTTCACGTTTTCAGATATCTGATGGAACGTTCTGTTTATCTTCGCTATTCCTCTTTCAACAGGCTCCACCACGTGAGATACTGTGAACCTCATGTCATCAGCAATGATTTCACCACTCCCCATCACCACATCACGCACACTCTGTGGGAAATTCAAGCGTTTCTCACTCTCATCATGTCTACCATACCGCACTCTTGTTGTTCTTTCACTGTCTTTAACCTCTTCTGGATCAGGAGGTGTATCTATAGAAGCATAATCCGACATTACTGCTACGTTACGGACACATCTCTCTCCACGCTTGTAAGGAGCTGCTGGAAAGACATAGAGATGAACCACAGCAGAAACACCCATCTGCAAAAAGGGTTTAACATTCTCAAGTTGTTTTAACTCACAGTCTCGTAATGGATACTATTGGTTTTAACGAAAAGTATACCTCAATACAGATGATGTAGTCTTGTATTCTCGTTTTCAGCTCCTTAGCCAAGGATCCTTTGAAAAGACCCATGGAGAAGAGGAATGCAACAATAATACCTTGCCACCAGGTGAGGAATACAATAGACTTGAATGTTAAAAACTTGGCTAATGGTTTGATGGGTGCTAGCTTATCTTTGATGACATTATAGAACTGTACAAGGCAATACAATGCCCATGTTTGACTGAAATTCAGCACGACAGCCAGATACGGATATCTGCAATGAGACAACACACAATATTATACCACATTTAGGATCAAAACAAGGAAATAATAAAAGATTACCCGTAGTTCCATTGGAACTTTCCTTCTCCATAAACTCCAAAGGCTTCAAGGAGCATTGCTAATAGAGCACAGATCATTTTCAGTATCATCTGAAGCAGGAAATTCTAAGTCAGCGATAGATTAGAGAGGATAGTCAACAAGATTATTTACAGTACATACATATTGAACGATGCCAATTTTCACAGCATGATAAAACTGAGGACCAAGGTTCCAGTCTTTTAGGAAGCAGTTCATTGGAAAAGGATGCTCCACAATTTTATTAGAACATGTGCCTTCAAGAAGAGGAGTGGTCTGGGTGATAACTGTCTGTTGTTCCATGAATTCAATCGTACGTTCTTCTCCATCTGCAGATACAGAGATGAAAAAAGAATTACTACTAAATTATAACTGAGAATAATCAATAGAACACAGATCCAAAAGATATACTTCAAGTGAATTAGGAATCTGAGCCATTAGACTTCTCATGTAGAGTCACACCAATAGCATGATTCACCATTTTCAGATAACAAATCTAGCTCAATCACTTACAACATAACGTTCATAATTACTTTAAATTTTCAATCCAGGCACACCATAACATGACAACATGCATGTCCAAGACTCTGAAGGTAGAGAGAAACAGATGGATTATATGAAGCATTACCTAGGCAAGCTATCATATATCTCTCAAAGCAATAGAGCGCAAAAGCTTCATAACAATCCCTAATCACCTCGCAGTTAAAAGCTGCTTCTGAATTCAGCAAAGACAAAAACTGCAGGAAGAAAATCATAAAGATCCAAGAATCAGCAAAAATTATTCTATATGTGAAAACTTGAAGGAAACAGTAAAATAATTATGGGATTTAACATATATAGTAGATTATCAACCCTACCGATTCTAGGGCATATACAGGGACCATCAGAATAAGTCCAATAAGAAACTTCTGTTCCTGTATCAAAAAAACAATAGAGAGCGTTATGCTCTCTTACTATGATCAATATAGAGCCATTGTCCTAACTTTGATCAGTTAAAAAGTTACAAAGATGAATCAGTAACACTTATTATGAACAAGAGAACACAAAAGGCCAATGAAACAAACCTCAGGCTGATTATAAGAAGCTAGGTGCTCAAAGATAAGATACATGGAGAGGATGAAGGCAACAGCCACGAAAATACTGGCACTTAAGATTGGCCAAGTAAAGTATGTTCCAACAACATCAACAACACCGAGGTTAGGAAGCCACATCATCCTTAATCTACTAGAAGACTCCCCCATGGAAATAATAAAGAAGAGAGAGCATAGGATTCCTCTCCACTCCATTTTTTAGAAACAGTGAAAGCAAAAATCAATATCTCCACATCAAGCTAGAAACTTTCCCCTACACAAGTGTTCCATAGTTCATAGATACCAAACCCAGAAACACTGATCCTTTACTCAACCTATGTGTAAACAAACAAACAAAAAACATGCATTACGAGTAAACAAGACAAGAACTAAACTGGGTTACGATCAAAATCAAATCTTTTTGTAATTTTAATATCAAAAATCAAAACTTTGGAACCCAATCAACGCATCAAAAACTAAACGATTTTCACAAAACCCTAAATCACCGACCCAATAGAGACGATTGATTGAACGAGAAATTGCGCTCACGTGAGCCTTGAAAGCCGCGGCGGATCGATTTAAAGAAGAAAAAAAAACAGAGTCCCCTTCAAAGTTGCTCGTATCAATGGAGAAAAAAAAATTGAAAACTTTGAACAAAAATCGATTTCGATTTTTAAATTTTTGCTTTTCCACGTGGAAGATAAAAGAGAATGTCTGAAAAAGGAAAAAATCTTCCCTTTTTGTGCTTTGGAGGTTGCGGGAAGCTAAATCCTTACTACTTTAATTTACTGATGTGTCACACTTTCATTGGTGTATTTCTTTGTCAAGTTGAGCAAATTCATACAAAAAAAAAATTACATGTTTAAGTTTTTATTTTTCTTATTACTGTAAGTTCATGACTTTATATCCTAATTTTTCATAGTCTAAATCAGCTTTTAATTTTTTTAGTACTTCATAGCAAAGAGAATTACAAAAGAACAAATCTCTTTATATTAGCTTCTAACATTTTAGTTTTAAAATATTTCTTCAAACCAATCTAAAACGAGCACTTATAAGAAAAGTTTAAGTTTTTTTTTTAACAAAATTTAAATTCAGACATAACAAAAAAAAAATCTCAAAGCCTCTTTCATTTAGTTGTACATGTTTCAGCATACTAAATGGGGTTTTGTAAACAATTGTTGAATAAATAGAATTAGAACCACAAGAATAACCTGATTTTTTTAATCTATTTTGAGAAATTGTAGCGACGAAAAGAGCATTTTAACTTCTTCTCAACCACTCATGTACTAAACACATCTAACAGAAAATGCGGAAACGCTTGCATGAATTGCTCACATGCAATTTCGTATGTTTCTGTAAATTTAACGTCTAGGGTCTTTATTTATGTGGTTAATAAAAACAAAATTAGTGAACAGGTTTTGACTACTTTAACATTTTTGATTGGGTAATCTATATGAAGTACATCATACATCTATAACAAGTAATTTACGAAGGAAATATTAAATAGTACCAACCACCATGGACTTAAATAACAAAGATGAAGTCAAGAGTTCTTTTCCTTATAAAAAGGGATAAGGAGGGCGATCTAGTCCAAGTATATCTGCTATTTCTGTCTCTATAAGCTCTGATTATATTCACTACTTGTAGTTCGATTATTAAAGCTACAAAAGAGATTGCTTCTTTCGAATTACAACGTATAAGCTATGGCTGGTGGAGTTCTTGCCGACGAAGGTGCCTTAAAGAGAGCTCATCTCTATGAGCATCGTATCACAGCTTACTTCATATTCGCTTGCATTGTTGGATCCCTAGGAGGCTCTCTCTTCGGCTATGATCTAGGAGTCTCAGGTAAATAATTATCTATGCTTTCTTCATCTAGGTTTTTCTTGTATCGATTAAAAAGTCGAATTTGGAAAGTCTCAAGTCTTGTTTCTTGGAAAGTATCAGCTTCAGTTTTGATAAAATCTCCTTCTTCAATATACTTTCTTTGTAACTCAAAAGAACATTTTGTAACGTACGGTGTTCTTTGTCTCTATTTCTTCTCTTTATATTTCTTGATCTGCTTTTGTCCGAAAAAACTCACCTCTTTCCGACAAAGTTAAGCAACTTAATGGTATTTTTATGAATAGAACTGTGTAATTAGCTATATATTCATATAAATTCCAAAATATTCTAAAGGTTAAATGGAAAAGTTTTTATTTTATTCCACCCAGTGGGATAATGGAAAAAAAATTTGTGAATGACATTGAAAATCATTTATGATATAATAAAGTATGGAATGGGAATTAAATACAAAAGTATGGAATGAAATGAATATATAGAATGGGATCAATCAAATATAGTTAAAAAAATAATAATGATCCCATTAATTTTAAATTTTAAATCATTTGGTTCCATACATTCCTAAAATATAATTATTCCCATTAATTTTAATTCATTTCGTTCCATACATTCCTAAAATATCCCATTAATCTTTAGTTTCTTGTGAACCAAGGATCTTATATGCAAGATTCATTGCTTTCATTTTGTTTCTTATTACTTGTTAACCGCAGGTGGAGTTACATCAATGGACGATTTCTTGATAGAGTTCTTTCCAGGAATCTACAAAAGAAAGCAAATGCATATGCACGAAACAGACTACTGCAAATACGACAACCAAATCCTCACACTCTTCACCTCTTCTCTCTACTTCGCTGGTTTGATCTCCACTTTCGGAGCTTCTTATGTCACCAGAATCTATGGACGGAGAGGAAGCATCCTCGTCGGCTCCGTCAGCTTCTTTCTTGGAGGAGTCGTCAACGCCACCGCCAAAAACATTATAATGCTAATCCTTGGTCGAATATTCCTTGGAATAGGCATTGGTTTCGGAAACCAGGCAAATCTCTAAATTCTAAATGACTAAACCGGTTTATGGACTTTTACTTTAACCAGGACCGAATCTAAGATTTAAAAAGTCATAAACTTTTTTATGTTAATTCATAAAAAAAAATCATTAAGGAATAAGACGAATGTTTCATCCGATTGTATCCAGAACCAGACCGGTTTTTAACATTCGGTTTAATTTATGCGTTTGCTTAATTTATGCGTTTGCGTTTGCAGGCGGTTCCATTATACTTATCAGAGATGGCTCCAGCAAAGATCAGAGGAACAGTGAATCAGCTTTTCCAGCTAACAACTTGCATAGGCATCTTAGTGGCTAATCTAATAAACTACAAAACAGATCAAATCCATCCATGGGGATGGAGACTCTCTCTTGGCCTCGCAGTGGTACCAGCAACACTCATGTTCATCGGAGGACTCTTCTTACCAGAGACACCTAACAGTCTTGTCGAACAAGGTAAGCTCGAGGAAGCTAAATCCGTACTGATCAAAGTACGTGGCACAAACAACATAGAAGCTGAGTTTCAAGACCTTGTTGAAGCTAGTGAAGCTGCGAGAGCTGTCAAGAATCCGTTCAGGAACCTTCTTGCTCGTAGGAACAGACCGCAGCTAGTGATTGGAGCCATTGGTCTTCCTGCTTTTCAGCAGCTAACGGGAATGAACTCTATTTTGTTCTATGCTCCGGTCATGTTTCAGAGTTTAGGGTTTGGTGGTTCCGCGTCGCTTATCTCGTCCACAATGACGAACGCTGCGCTAGTTATTGCTGCTATCATGTCTATGTACTCGGCTGATAAATTTGGAAGAAGGTTCCTTCTTCTTGAAGCTAGCGTCGAGATGTTTTGTTATATGGTAAGTGCTTGTATCTTGTCACCCAAGTAACTTCCCTAAAACCTCTGAAATGCTATTTTTCTGAGCTGGGGCTTCTAACTTGTTATAAAAGTAACTACTATAAGAACCCTAAAACCCCAAAAATGCTCATTTTTTTTGCTATGGTGCACGGATTCTAACTTGTAATGAGCTAGGGCTTCTAACTTGTTATATAAGTAACTTCCGAAAAAGCACTTAAAAACCCTAAAATGCTCTTTTTGCAGGTTGTAGTAGGAGTAACACTAGCGTTTAAGTTTGGGGAAGGCAAAGAGCTACCGAAGTCGCTAGGTTTGGTTCTTGTGATCCTTATATGTCTGTTTGTGTTGGCGTATGGTCGGTCATGGGGACCAATGGGATGGTTAGTTCCGAGTGAGATCTTCCCACTAGAGACACGATCAGCCGGTCAAAGTGTTGTCGTGTGTGTAAACCTTTTCTTCACGGCGCTTATTGCGCAGTGTTTCCTCGTGTCTCTATGTCATCTCAAGTACGGAATATTCCTTTTATTCGCTGGACTTGTGTTTGGGATGGGATGTTTCGTTTACTTTCTGTTGCCGGAGACGAAGCAAGTTCCTATTGAGGAGGTTTATCTTTTGTGGAGACAGCATTGGCTTTGGAAGAGATATGTTGATGATGAACAGATCAATCGGTAAACGATTAACAAAATGTATGTAAGGTTTTGAATATTTAAGGGGTTCAGAAAATTACGATGTGATTTGTTTTTTTTGCTTCTTGAATAATTTATAACAGAGGCTACGTGTCTATTAGTCTATGCAATATCTGATCTTCAAGAATTCAAAAGTTGTTGATCTGTTAATTTGGGTTATACATATAAAAATAATATTGTCATGTAGTTAATAAGCATAAGTATATTATCATATAGTATACAGTACTATTATGAACAATACAAACTTGTACAGCATCAAAAAGTCATTGGTAGCTAGTAGTACAATAGTTAGAAAGACAATTGTTTATACAGTGACAAAAAAAAAAAGACAATTGTTTATACATCTTCCTACCATCTATTTGCCAAAATAAAATAGAATAATAGTAGTACCTTCGTTTGTACAAAACTACTTAATTAGGTTATGAGTTTATGACCACGGTTGGTTTTGGGAGAGAGAAAAGATTCGCCGTAACTGCCAAATTTTGGTTAATTACTATACAGATTATTCAGATTTTAAATTGATTTATAATACTTCATCTGTTTCATTATAAGTGTCACTTCAAAGTTTTGCACATGGATTAAGTAAACAATTAATTTTACATATTTCCTATATAAAAACACACTTATATATACACCTAACTATATTTTAACCAATAAAAAAACAAATTACATAATAGAATTAATAAATTTTGTATTGAAAACCGAAAACGACACTTATTTTGTAACGTCAAAAATTTTCTATAACTACACTTACTAGAAAACAAGGGAGTATATGTATTGATTATTTAGACCAAAACGGTAACTGTTTTAAGTTCTATCAATGTTAATGCCGACCATATTTATGATAGACAGATTCTATTAAGAAGTTATGTGAGAATGATATGTGCCAACAGAATATGAATAGATGTGGAACGAACATTGATGTTGATACACTTGTAAAGTCTCCATGATTTGACCAGTGAGATTAATATTGCGGTCCAGTATCAATTATTCACATGTTAGTTTTGCAAAATTGTTACGTTTATAAAAAATACATCCACACCTAAAGTTAACAACTCTTTAACTGAAACAAATAAAATAGCATTCTTGATACATTTGACAAAATGACATTCTATTAAATCATTTATTTGTGAGGTCGAGGAAAATAAATGAAACTCGCAGATAAATAATTTACTCAATTATTCAGTAGGTGAAAGAATTAAATATTCAATTAGTGTGCAAACACGAATGTAGACCATATATAGTGTAGAGGTTTGGCCTGGTAGTGGTTTACTGGTTAGGTGTGTGCCAGTTTATAATTATAACCCCGTGACAAGCGAGAAAGGACAGAGAGTATGTACTGAATTCTTGAAATTGCGTGGTCAAATTTGTGAAAGTTGGAAATTTTAGGGGGTCCAATTGGGTCCCATTTCTTTAAAGCCCACAATTAACCAACCTCTTATGATTGTAGGCCCAAACTGGTCCCAGCCCATTGATTGTTTTCATCTACTAACTAATTGTTTGTTCTTTTTTGAGAAGTGGTTACAAACCAATTGTTTAACAAGTTAAAAAGAGCAGACATGATTTTTCTATTAATTCCCTACTTCTGCATCTGTGATGGATAATAACAAGGTTACAGCAAATAGAAATAACAACCATAGATGCTAGAATTATTATTTTGAAAATTGTACAGATAAATGTCATTTTACACAAAGTGTTGTTCATTTACAATGTAACTGTTATCCCAAAGTTTTTCTGGAATCAAAATCCAAAGAAGTTCATTATTTAATGCTACTAGTTTTCGTTTTATCTTATTTTACATATGGTTCCATAAACCGGAGCGTAAACCGCTGTAAAATATCTGCGGGCACTCCTGACCACGACGCCATTTATGGATTAGGTTATGTTGCTACTCTCTAGGTAGATCAATCTAGGTCAATGTTTTTCCGGTGAAATCAAAGTCTATTAATTGTGGTTCATACAATAAATGTTTTACACATCATTGTTAAGTTAATATAATTAAATAATGAATTATACTACTTAGTTATTTGACCAATATTGCTGACGACAATATCTATGATACTATTACTACATGTTAATGAATTTGACTAATGACATGTCGAATATGCAACATATATATATATGTTTATACTATGATTTGAGACATCAATGAGCTCAACTATAATTCCATGCAATTTATGCAAACAAGACAATATTGGAAAATGAACAGATTTGGAAGTTAGAACAAGAGGAAAACGGGCAGGTTGATTAATAGCATGGCGTTACATACTCTATGATAGGGATAGTGATACACACGAGGACACACACGTTTATATCTTTTCGTCTAAAAATATCACAGTTAGTTCCAGGAATGGATGCTGAAAGATTTTCATGAGAAAAAATGATAATAAATTAGTTACGTAATTGATGGTAGCATGGAAACCCTAACGTAATGCACGTGGCAGGCCATGTTATTATATCTAATTTCAAGGCAATCTTATATTTATTTATTTTAAATTATTTACACATAAGCAAACTGCATACAATTTATTTCAACATTTTTTTTTTGTACAGTTCGTCTTTCTCAAAAAAAAAAAAAAATCGTAGATATATATTGTGTTTAGTTAACTAGCTATAAACTTTGTTAGAACAGCCGGAAAATATTAATTTATCACGATTTGATAATTGTCCGAGGAGATTCTAAGTATAGGTTGGGACTTATTGGTCAACATAACTTTGGAAATTAATACAATAGAACTGTATTTAACTGATTTTTATTGGTTTATATTTTATTCTGTTTTCACTTTAGTCAGCCTTCCTTTCCCATATGTTTATCATCAATTCAATATATGTTGCGTAAGGATCAAAAACTTTCAACAGAATCCATGTAAGTTAGTTTTTGAATATCCGTGTTCATACTGCAATATAGAAACGAACACTACCTAGAAATACTACTTCCAACTATTAAAAGATACTAATGTACACCGGCCTTTTTATTAACTTAACTTCTTAACCATTGCTAAAAACATAATCCATGTAAGTTAGTTTTTGAATATCCGTGTTCATACTGCAATGTAGAAACGAACACTACCTAGAAATACTACTTCCAACTATTAAAAGAAAATAATTTACACCGGCCTTTTTATCAACTTAACTTCTTAACCATTACTATAAAATATAAGCATAAATATATAGACTCATAAATAGCTGTCTAGAAAGGACAATATGACATATGTATTTACTCTTGGTAAGAAACGACACGTTTGTAACATTAATATCAAAATACATTACAATGATACTCTCATCAGGTACTCAAACGTCACGATCAAATCGACTACCTAAAAAAGAAGTTGAAGAAAAAACAAATAGTGAAATGAGTTGAATAATGATATAAGTATGGTAAATGAGAGCATTAAATAGCGAATTGTATGGAAGTATGCTAAATATAATAAAAACACAAATTAGGGAGACTTAAAAATAAAGGCATGTGAGAAGGGTGTTGACAGTTGTCAGAAATGCCATGCTGAGATGGGGCAAAGAGCTTTCACTCCTTGTGGGTCTCTTTAATTATCTCTTTTCCTCTTCCCTTCCTTCTGATTAGCATCGTCTACCCTAACAGTAAATCATACTCTATGATCTGTTTATTTGCATATTTATCAAGTTTAAACCCTAAAACCCGAGTTTCTAGACGAGGGAATTCATATAACTATACCATATATAGTAATAGATTATATAGCTATTTGTTCGTCAACAAAGTAGGTTGTACTCTTAATTACATCAGAAACAGAGAGAGCTATAGAGGTCATAAGAATGGTGCAAACACCTAACCACAATGACGAATGAACATAATAGACCAAACATTAGTTCTCGATACCAGCTTGGGTTTAGATGGGAAACTCGATTTCCACCGAAAACATTCATTTATACTGTATCATTTTTCTTTTTCGCTACGAGACAAGATAAACATTTTTATATTATCTAAGTTCCATCTCTCCATTTTGGTATTAGTATACACTGTTTCAAATATAAGCATTTATTTCGATCCGAAAATAATCTACCTAATGTGTATATAACATCACGTAAAATCACATTTTAATCATGAGTTTACCTGTATTTATGTTCGTAATTTATTTTATTAATTTTCATTTTAGGACATTTCCAACCCAACTCTATTTTTATTTTAAAATTGAATAAAAACATTTTAACCTTATTTTATTTCCTATTCTAAAATAGAATATATTTATTTTATAAATAGACTAATTTTATTTTTGTTTCTCATCATTTTATTATAGAATAAAAAAACAAAATGTGATTAAAATATTTTTACTCCGTATTTTTTTTTAGAAAAAAAAAATTACATTGGAGATGGTATTTAACCCATATGCAAATAATCAAGTTCACCCATGGACCATGCATAGGTCATCTCGAAAAGATAAATAAACATTTTTTTTCTGCCAGATAAGATAAATAAACATTTACTAGCCCTTTTTTCAAACATTTACTCACCCTAGTGCAAAAATACTAAACATTAAATAAAAGAAAATTAAATGGGTCATTTCCAAGTATATATATTGACGTAATGTGAACATACCTGTCATCACAAGTATGCGATCCACTGTCCTTTTCTAACTTCAACATTCAACTTCAATACATTTCAACTCTCTCTTTCTCTCAAGCCTTTATATAAACCCTATACGTACCTACGTACTCTCCTCACACACTCACCGAGTCAAAACCCTCTACGTACGTACTCTCCTCACACACTCACCGAGTCAAAACCCTCTACGTACGTACTCCCTCACACTCACTGAGTCAATCCCCACGTGCCAATGACCGAGTCATCCATCTCCTCCCTCAAACAACCGTCTCCAGTGCAAGAAAATGAAGAGTCCCATCGAACAAATAACAACAAGAAACGGGTTAGACCCGACCCGGGTTATAGAGGCGTACGGATGCGAACGTGGGGCAAATGGGTCTCCGAGATCCGTGAGCCACGCAAGAAGAGCCGTATCTGGCTCGGCACATTCTCCACAGCCGAGATGGCGGCGCGTGCGCACGACGCAGCTGCTTTAACCATCAAAGGAGCCTCCGCTGTCCTCAACTTCCCGGAGCTCGCCACGTTCCTTCCTCGTCCAGCTTCCTCCTCTCCACGTGACGTTCAAGCCGCAGCCGCCGTAGCCGCCGCCATGGACTTCTCCTCCTCCTCCTCCTCAGCCGTCGTGATCTCTGATCCCACCACCGTGGTCCCGGAGACAAACTTATCTTCCTCGAGTAGCTACTCGACGTCTACGTCGACGTCTTCAACGTTGTCACCGTCGAGCGAGGAAGCAGCTTCGTCAACGGCGGAAGAGCTGAGCGAGATAGTGGAGTTGCCGAGTCTAGAGACGAGTTACGATGAGCCGTGGAGCGAGTTCGTGTACGTTGACCCGGCGTATCCACCTAGCTCGCCTTGGTATTTTAATAACTGTTATAGCTTTTATTACAACAGCGACGAAAGTGGCACTTCGATGGGTGAACCTTTCGAGTCTTCCAATTTTTGTCCCCTTTTCCCTTAGTGTTTAAATTTTTATTTAATCCCAACTTGTTTTAAAATTTTATTGTTGTAGACCAATTTCTTCTGAGGTTTATTTAATTATTGTTTTCACAAACAGAGTTTAATATACTCCATTAAACCTGATTTTATCAATATCATATTAGTATGGTTATAATTTTTTTAGTGTGGTTGAATCTTCTAGAACGAAAGCTAAAACGAATCACACAAATATGATTGGAAGTTATATTATTTATATTTCTATTTTGTAAGTTTAACAACACCATGCAATGCAATTTTGTTGGTGGACTATTCATATCTAGGTATACGCTATACTTACTGGTTGAATGTTTAGTTTGTATGATTCCTAGCAAAAAAAATAGATTGTATGATTAACTAAACATGTGTTCTCAGATGATTTGTTAGCTGGCAGATACGGAATATTTTTCAACTTGGTATTTAATTATTGGTTTATTATCACCATCTGAATCTAATTAACATAATCTTCCTAGTTAGATCGAGCTAACTAACTCAAAATGAATGATTGTGTATTAATAAATAGAAAGCAATCCTTGCACTTTTGTGTGTAAAACTCAGTTTACACCCTGTTAAAATAGATTAAATAAGAGAAGTGCGAAATTATCGCTTTACCAAACTTTTTTTTTTTTTTGCTTTACCAAACTCTTATTTGACTTTCCGGCATTAGTCAGACATAATTAATGGCTTGACTCTTAAACTAACACGTGCATGCACTAACTCATATGCAAATCCAACCATGGTAGTTTAATACAGTCTTTACGTTTCTATTTTCCTTAGACGAAGTTTGTGTTTATATTTGAACAATTCACTTTTTTCGCACGCAAGTCCAGCCACGGGGAAAATACATCTTGATTTCATTTCATGTTAAATCAACTAAGTATTGCGTGAGTCTCTCCTCGATGAAAACATCAATCACCACCCACCACATGAGGTGATTAAGTTAACCAATTTCTTATTATCATCGTACATTAATCTAACTAAAATTATTTGCTACGTTAATTAATTAATAATGGCATTTAACTATTCCGTAGGAAAAGGCCATTACCATCGGGATCCGCGGTCAACGGAGGTTCCACCACAATCACCGTGTTATTCATTGTTCTTGCTCAAATATAGATGATTCTTTTTGATATTTTAATGGAGACCCATTTTATATACTATAAATCTTATAATAATGCAGGATTTTTTTTTGTCAGATATGTAAATTATTATGCTTAAAGATCGGAAATAGAACTCCCACAAAGGTATTGCAAATCCAAAGGGTCATGTCTTTGGTTTTCAAGAACCCAATCTTCCACTAAAACTACCAAAGTTAATCGTTAGGAGAACATGTTGTGAACTCAAACTCATGCAGAGCTTGTTAATTAAATGTCAAATTTGTCGCAAGGGAAAGATCTGCTAGGAGAGCCAGCTCCTAGACTATCAGACATGATCTGAAAATGCATATTCTCTCTGTATACAGTCATTAACAAAAAAATTATATCTTGGGTTTCTAATCAACATATTTATGCCATTAATTTATTTAGAAAATATGTTAAAACTGTCAAACTTGATTGGAACTTAATAGATTATACTATCCTAAAAGCAAGAGTTGAAAATTTATTTATGAACCTTTTTGAAAAATATGTTGATATATAGTTGATTTCGACTAAATATTTTTAAAACTAAGATGTGGAGTTTGAGGACTTTCATAGTAATAATATGGAAATATAACATGTTGATGGAAAATTCAACTCTATTTAGTCGTGGCCAGGGCATGGTCTCTTCTCCTCCTACTTTTTAAAGATCTCTTTTTTTTTTAACCTTTAAAGATTTGGGTTGAGGCTAATATAGTATAATTTCTTTAAATTAATACTCTATAAATTAATATACACTAAAAGTTTCTATAAAATAATATAATTTTATAATTTCAAATTGAATTTTTGGTCCAATTAATATATCTATAAATTAATAATTCTATAAATTAATAAAAATTATAATTTTAATGTAATTCTAATATTATTAATTTATAGAATTTTTACTGCATGTTAGTTTATTCCATAGGTTGTAATTAAGCTGTCTGTAGGGTTGCAACATCATTTTCCAATAGAGTAGATGTTTGGTCGCAATGTCGTTTATTCCAAGTTTCTTAGAGATGACATGATCGAATTATGATGGGTTTCTTTTGTTCATGAATTGAACATGTATTTTCTTTATTAAATGGGTCGATAAACAGATTTATGGGGCTTAAACAATTAATAAACATGTATATTTATAATTTTTTGAAATTTAATGATATACATATTAACCACTAATATTTGAAAAAGAAAACCACGAATGTTTCATCGCCATTTGCAAGATCAAGTCCGTTGTTTAACGGGATTGATTATGTTATGAACAAACGAGAATCAAACTCAAAGAACAAAACAGAGCAAAAAATAAACAGAGGCAAATACGCATCTATAGAATTTGTATATATTTTGTGAAAGAATAACTTTATAATTTCTTAGACTCATAGTTATAGTAGCCTCAAATTTGATTTATTTTTCCTATAAGAATACATATTTATCTACAAAAGTAAAATTTTCCTAAACCGAAAAAGTATATCGCGCCTATGACGTTCGATCCAACGAATGTGAACTTTAAATGGTATACAGAGATTTAAGACACATCCAAATACAATAGTGTGCAACGCACATTTTTCAATTAATGTTTCTGATTGATAGTTATCAAATATTATATGGTTATAAAAGAAATTTTGAAGATCCTCTCTGTGTGTAACAGTAATGGAAGATCAACACATTTATAAACTTGATTAGAGAGAAGAGATAAATAGTATAGAAAACTAACAAATAGGAAGGGTTCCATGAGCCTTAGAGATATTCAAAAGCCCATAACTTCAGTTCTACTAAACTTTGATCAAAGTATCCACAACAAGGCCCCTTGGCCCAGTAGTTATAACACGTCTACTTGCAAACCATTTGGGCTAAGCCTGCGAAATCTACCAAGCAACGTTATTTAATTAGTTTCGTAAACCGACTTAACCGGAAAAGGAATCGCTAAATAACCGACCTTATCCACACACCGTATAAAACAGCTATGATTTCATCTTAACCAAACCCTAAAGGCTTCATCGAGCCTTCTTCCTCAGAGAGACGAAGCTTCACCTCCGTTCGTCGTTCTCCCGCCGCGTCTAATCTCTCCCAAAAATCGCACACCCCGTCGATTAATTACCTCAGAGGTTAGCTTCTTCCATCATCTTCTACTCTCTATCTCCTTTTCTACTGTTTTTAAAGCTTTCTATCGATCTCAAAAACCTCACCGATCGTTGAAGGAGTTTTAATCCATCTCTGATTCGTTAGGATTTTATCGGAACTAGTCTAGATCTGATTGTTGCGTTAAGAAACCCTAATTTATAGAGATCTAATCATTACGTCGGTTTAAAAACCCTAATTTTTAGGGATCCGTGTTGTAATCTGGTGAGTTCTGATTAGTATCGTTTCTGTTTTTTTTTTTTTTGCAGGTTTTGAGCTTACGTGGAGCTTACTTACTATGGAGTTTCTCAAAGACTTACCTCCAGCCAAATCAACAGCCACCACGTTCTACGACCACTCCAACGATCCATGGTTCAAAAACCGTTTCACTGAATCCGAATCCGAGAAATCCGCCGCCGTTGTGGCTTTCAAAGCAGTGCCTGTTTACCTGAAACGGCAAGGCTTCCGTCCCCGGAGCCCTGAGGATTTTGGAGATGGTGGTGCTTTCCCTGAGATACACGTTGCTCAGTATCCTCTTGGTATGGGGAAGAATAAGTCTAGTAAGCCTGGGTCCAAGACGCTTCCTGTTACTGTGGATGCTGAGGGGAATGTGGTTTTTGACGCTATTGTGAGGCAGAATGAGAATTCTAAGAAGATTGTTTACTCTCAGCATAAGGATATTATTCCCAAGGTGTTGAAGAACGAGAGGGGTGGGGATGGTGTTGTGGATGAAGAGGAGGAGTTGCAGAAGCAGATACAGGCGACTACGGAAGAGACTAAAGCTGCTATGGAGAAGATTGTTAATGTGAGGCTGAGTGCTGCACAGCCTACTAATGTCCCGAGGCAATCTGGTGACTCGGAGTTTATTAAGTATAAGCCGTCTCAGCAGTCTGCAGCTTTTAATTCTGGTGCTAAAGAGAGGATTATTAGGATGGTGGAGATGCCTGTTGATCCTCTTGATCCACCGAAGTTTAAGCACAAGAGAGTCCCGAAGGCTTCCGGCTCTCCGCCTGTTCCGGTTATGCATTCGCCGCCCAGGCCTGTTACTGTTAAGGACCAGCAAGACTGGAAGATCCCTCCTTGTATCTCAAACTGGAAGAATCCGAAAGGTTACACTATCCCTCTTGATAAACGTCTCGCTGCTGATGGAAGAGGTTTACAAGATGTTCAGATCAATGATAACTTTGCCAAGCTATCCGAGGCTCTCTATGTGGCTGAGCAGAAGGCTAGGGAGGCTGTTTCTATGCGGTCAAAGGTGCAGAAGGAGATGATGATGAAGGAGAAGGAAAGGAAAGAGCAGGAGTTGAGGGCTCTTGCCCAAAAAGCTCGTTCTGAGAGAACTGGTGCTCCTGCGAGTATGCCTGTCTCTTCAGACAGGGCTAGGAGTGAAAGTGTTGACCCAAGAGGGGATTATGACTACGATCGTGAGAGGGAGAGGGATAGGGATAGGGATAGGGATATGGAAAGGGAAAGAGAGAGGGAAGGGCCAAAGGAGAGTAGAGCGGAGAGGGAAGAGCGGATTCAAAGAGATAAGATCAGAGAAGAGCGTCGCAGGGAAAGAGAGAGGGAGAGAAGGTTGGAAGCTAAAGATGCTGCCACGGGGAAGAAGAGCAAGATCACGAGAGACAGAGACCGTGACATCAGTGAGAAAGTCGCTCTTGGAATGGCTTCTACGGGAAGAAAAGGAGGCGAAGTTATGTATGATCAACGACTCTTCAACCAAGAGAAGGGAATGGATTCAGGTTTTGCAACAGACGACCAGTACAACGTATATGACAAAGGCTTGTTCACTGCACAACCCACTCTCTCAACGCTCTACAAGCCGAAGAAGGATACAGATGAAGAAATGTACGGAAACGCAGACGAGCAGCTCGATAAGCTCAAGAACACTGAGAAATTCAAACCAGACAGAGCTTTCACCGGTGCTTCCGAGAGGTCGGGCAAGAGAGAGCGACCTGTGGAGTTTGAGAAGGAAGATGAACAAGATCCTTTCGGTCTGGACCGTTTCGTGTCTGATGTGAACAAAGGTAAGAAACCTTTGGATAAAATCGGGTCCGGTGGAACTATGAGAGCTAGTGGCGGTGGAGGCAGCTCTTCACGTGATGACTATGGTGGTTCTGGTCGAACCAAGATCAATTTCGAACGTGGCGATCGTTAAAAGTCTCAGCAACCGAGTCTTTCGATTCCAATGCATGGTTATTACTGTTTGACTTCTTTATTTGGATATGTGAAAACACCGAAACAGTTTGCTTTTGATTCAGTGTTTATGTTGTAGTAATGCTCTAAACTTATCAAAAACAGTCTTTCAAAACTGTCTATTTGGATCTTTGACAAGAGTTTGAGCTTATTTTATAACATCTTTATATAATGTAATAAAGCTTTGTTCTCCTATGTTTGGCTTATAAAATGTTAGTTTGCATTTCTGATTGAGGAGAAAAACCAAAGACACACATATGGTCTTCTTCTCTAGTCTTGTCTGCAGGCTTAATGCTACCACCACTAAGTCAACAACACATTACATCACCGTGCTTCACCGGTGGAATCATCACTCCACTACTCCGGCCAAAGACGAATCTTCCGTCTCTATCTCCACTCTTTCACCTCAAGACCGTAACAAGCTCTTAGCTAAGCTCCTATCAAACAGCAACAGCCTAGCTCGTGTCCGCCGCATCCATGGCGACATCTTCCGATCACGCATCCTCGACCAAGACCCGATCCCTTTCTTACGCAACAACATCATGCGAGCCTACCTTCGCCACGACTCCCCTCTCGATGCAATCCAAGTCTACCTCGCTATGGTCAGATCAGATGTGTTACCTGATCGGTACACTCTCCCGATCGTAACCAAATCCGCCGTTCAAATCCACGATCTTCCCTTGGGAAAGCAGTTTCATTCCGTCGCGGTCAAGCTAGGCTTCGTGCGAGACCAGTTCTGCGAGAGTGGGTTCATAACCTTGTACTGTAAAGCGGGGAAGTTTAGGGATGCACGCAAAGTGTTCGACGAAAATCCCGAGAGAAAGTTGGGATCCTGGAACGCGATTATCGCAGGGTTGAATCAAGTGGCACGTGCCAAGGAGGCTGTGGAGATGTTTGTTGAGATGAAAAGAAGCGGGTTTGAGCCGGATGACTTCACTATGGTGAGTGTGACGTCAGCTTGTGGTGGATTAGGTGACTTGGGGTTAGCTTTTCAGTTGCATAGATGTGTTCTTGAAGCTATACCAGAAGAGAAGTCTGATATCATGATGATGAATTCGCTTATTGACATGTATGGGAAGTGTGGGCGTATGGATTTAGCGAGCCAAGTGTTTGATGAGATGCCTGTGAGAAACGTTGTCTCGTGGACGTCTATGATCATGAGTTACGCAGCTCACGGGAGGACGTTAGAGGCGTTGGAAGCGTTTCGTCGGATGAGGGAGGCTGGTGTGAGACCAAACAATGTCACGTTCGTTGGTGTACTCGGGGCTTGCGTCCATGGAGGTCTTGTTGAAGAAGGGAAAGGCTATTTCGAAATGATGAAGTCAGAGTTTGGTTTAGAGCCGGGTTTGTCTCACTACGGATGCGTAGTTGATCTGTTGAGCAGGGACGGGCGGCTTGAGGAGGCTAAGATGATGGTGGAAGGGATGCCGATGAAGCCTAGCGTGGCGGTTTGGGGTAGTTTGATGGGTGGGTGTGAGAAGTTTGGGGATGTTGAGATGGCTGAGTGGGTGGCTAAACATATGGTTGAGCTTGAGCCCTGGAATGATGGTGTTTATGTGGTTTTGGCTAATGTGTATGCATCGAGAGAGATGTGGAAAGATGTTGAGAGGGTTAGGAAGTTGATGAAGGAGAATAAGCTTGTCAAGGTTCCTGGCTATAGCTACTCTACGACAGGGCTTTAGAAATCGCATGCTTACGTAGTAGTGTCTTTCTTTTCAGACCTGATCTATTTTTGTTTTTTTATCATTAGGCTTACATCTTTGTCTCCACTTACACTTAGTGGGATAGTTTGCAAACATCATTATCATCAACATAATTAACCAAATCATTGTTTCCTAACTCGTTTTTTATTAATAACTAGGTTAAGAACATACTGTATACAAATTATTTTTACATTATTATTTATTTTGTGTTCACTTACGACTTAAATTAAACTTTAATAAATGCATAAATCAAAGTAAATAAATCAAAGCTATTATTCTATTTAAAGCTATTATTCTATTTATGTGATATATTTTTAAATTTAAAATGATATTGGCATATTTTTGATCAAAATATCGACATAGACATATAATATATTTTAATATGAATATTTCATTGAACTCTAGTTTATATTCTTATGATTTTGTTCTTATTTGTATATTTTTGTAACAAATTTAAATCATTAATCATAATATTTTTATAGTGAGATTTTTAATAATTATAGTAATTTATAATCGTTTTAAAAAATTCAATACAAATTTTTAAAATAAAATATTCAGATCTCGATACAATATCAATGTAAATTCTGAAATTAACATATATGTATCTTTATACGGTATATAATTTAATTTAAATGATTATATATATATATATATACAATATGAATCTCCTTAATATTATTTCCGAAGTGATTTACATATATGTTATTACCACATTCATTCTCAACAAGAATGAGATAACATGAACTTTGAAAAGTATGCCAATTTTTGATGTGTTGTACAATTTTTCTTATACAGAATTTATATTTTTGCAAAAGGTTTTTTTAAAATCCATTAATAACTAATAACTCTTATATAATCATTAAAAGTAAACTTTCTGTGTAATTAAAAAAAAGTTAAATTGCAGTATAATTATTTATTTTGGCGAAAATAATTACTAACTAATAACTCATATAGCACAGTCAATAAAATATTATATATATATAACACAATAAATATTTTAATATCAACTTATATATAATATTCTGTTTAACACAATAAATATTTTCATCCATTGTCTCTCCAAAAAGATGGTCACATACGCACATTTGCTTCTTCGATGCTCCATATCAGATTTGTTTTCATATCAAGGGGAAGAGTTTTATATTAGACTAATTTACACGAACTCCTTTGTTACATTTTCTAATTATTTTCGAAGCTACTTTACTACTTATAGCACTACATGTCCTTGAGGTTAACCCACGATAAGCCCGTCCAGTAGGGTGCATTAAGATCTTTTAGGCGGAAAACTAAAATGTGGGTTTCAAATAAGGGTCAAGCTTTGAGGCCTACAAGCGTTTGTTATCCTATCATGTGATTAGAATCTATATGACTTGCGAAGTCATGTGCAGGCTGTGCAGCTATTTATCTTTGAAAATGTTTCCTTTTATTAGTTAATTTAGAAAGACTCAAATGATAATGTGTAACTCTTTTTTATATATCCATATGAAAATATTAAAAATTCCAGGGGACTATATATCATCCAAATGAAAACTGTTGGCTTATACCGGCTAGCTACTACCGTCACTCGGTATTTCAAAATTAGATATATAATAATCTTATTGACTAAACGCATATATATTAGATATTCAATATTTCTTGGTACTAATAGATAATTCAATCTGAGTGACAAGATTTTATCATTATGATTAGTATTATACATATATATACACACACATGCATGTGTCGTCGTCGTGTAATACAAATCTATAGAATGTTATAATATGGATTAGCCATCATATGTCGTGACAAAAAAACCATCATAGGTTTGAACGGGCAACATACGATAATCATGCTACCAAATATGTGACATCAAGCTTGACGATAGTAAACCCAAACCAGTTGTGTGTAATCTACTCTCTTTTTTTTCTTCTTCTTCTATATGTATATATCTACTTTGATAAATGAATTGACTCGTGAGGCAGATCACTTAATCAGCAGATGATCCGAATCAAGCAGATTTATTTTCTTGACTCAAATAATATGTATACCTTTAACGTTTGATCAAAGTTCTGTTCCAAAAAAAAAAGATCAAAGTTCTTTTTTTTTTTTTCTATTTTCATAGCTACACATCAAAATACTTTTTTTTATAATATCTTATGTACAATTGATAGTAATTGTACTAAACTAATTAAATTATAATTATTTTGTTTAGACAATCTATCCGTTGAATTAACCTCCAAGCTTTGTGATTTTCTCAAACGAAAATCAAGACTTAAATAAGTTATCTTCAGATTGAATTTATTTAAAATAAGCTTACAGTATATCGAATATACGATAAGTGGAAAATGACAGGAAACGACTTTTTCAAGCATCACGTATGACATGAAACGACTTTTGCTACCGTCACGTATGACAACATGGTACGCAAAATTAATGTATTTCCGAGAAAAGAGACAAAAAATGTGTTCAAAGAAGGGAAAGCATTATAGATCAAGGTCTCACCGCTCACGTCCAGAGATAAAATAAAGCACTAATAACAAACTTTTTTAAAAAGATAACGAATAATCAAACAATTCATATAATATTACAAAACAAGAAATGGATAAGACTGTTTCACAAGACACCAACTGTATCTTCAACTTTTATAAATGATTCTTGCTCCTGCTCTTTTTTTCTAAACATCTTCATTTCTTGGTTACTTCACAAATAACTAAAAAAAAACACTCATTTCTCTCTATTGTTAAGAAAAACAAGAAAAACCCTCAGAGAAAATTCAAGATGGGGAGCTTAGGAGAAGAAGATTTGGAGAAGCTTGTGATCGATTACATTGAGTCTCCGATCATCTCTGATGATGTGGAGGAACAACCTTCAAGAGTTCTTATCACTCTTCAGGTCTATATCTATTCTCATCCTTCCATCAATACATTTCTATCTTTTTTTTTTCTTTATATAAATATTTAACAACTATATCTATAGGATGTTCTTGGGACAAAAGAAGAAAAAGAAAAGCAGATTGAAGATAAGTTAAAGTCGATTATCAGAAGAAATAAATTATCATACAAAAGAGATGATGAGAAGAAAGATGTCATGAAAAAGATAGTGTCAAAGCTTAGATCTGACGGCTACGATGCTTTTATCTCCAGAACCTCGTGGGACTCTTCTTTTGATCGGCTTGAAGGTAATAATAACAAAATCTCTCATTTTGTTTTTTTTTTTTCAAAAGAAAATTTCCAAAAGTATTCATGTGATCTAATCTTTGCAAAATTGAAGAATTTTTCCATCCATTTTCGAAAGTTAGAGGAAGTCAAGTTTAAAAAAAAAAAAAATTGTTATTTTGTGGAAATGTCACAACAGGATGTAGAGTGTTTCGTTGCACAAGAAAGTACGAGTACATTGATTTTTTTTTTTGATTTTTTTTGTTATTACTATGGAAATGTCATAACAGGATGTAGAGTGTTTCGTTACACAAGAAAGTACGAGTACATTGATTTATTTTTAAAAAAAAATTTTGTTTTTTTTGTGGAAATGTCACAACAGGATGTAGAGTGTTTCGTTGCACAAGAAAGTACGAGTACATTGACGTCATGGTGGAGAGTGATGGCGACGGTGATGATGGAAGCAAGTTTAGACGTGTGATAGTTGATCTTGATTTCAAGTCTCAGTTTGAGCTGTTGAAACATACAAAAGATTACAAAGACGTGACTGAGATGCTTCCGAGAATATTTGTTGCGACAGAAATGAGACTCAAAAAAGTTGTTTCGTTGGTTTGTAATGAGATGAAAAAGTCAATGAAGGAAGAAGGAATGTCTAGACCTCCATGGAGGACTAAGAGATACATGCAAGCCAAGTGGCTCTCTGAGAATCGTATAAGAGTGTCTGGTTCTAATAAAGGATCTTGGTCTATGTTTGATGATGGTCAAGGAGGTGAAGATGTTGGGACAACGAGTCGTGGTGGTACTGGTATGAAAACTAAGTGTTGTTTTCCTATTTTCTGAGAGATTAAGCTGAGTTTTTTTTAGTTTATGGATTTTATAAAAAAAAAAAAGAGTTAAGGTCGGATTTTGAACATTAGTTGTGTTTTTTTTTGGGTAAAACAATCGGTTGTATTTTTGTTTGTTGCTTCGTATGATTGTTCGGGGGTGTTCAACAAAACTAAAGAAGAAGTCAGTGGGAATTGTTGTATCAGGTTTTTTTCTGATGCTATATCAGTATATTGCATCTTCTACTTGTATCAATAGCCTAATATATATAAAATTACAAGGTGTTTTGTCGTCCCATTATACTATCTAATGTAGGTTTATGGTTTAATATATTTGATTTTGTTGTATAATTCTGATTACAGGACCGAACTACATTTTCTTAATTCGTTTTTTTCTAAATTTTGAATGACATGAGATGAGAAAGGGGCAAGCAGAATCGATCAATCGAACAGCGAGATCTTTCATACTGAACAGAAAATATGTAAAATATATTAAAGAAATACTAAAAGCTAGATTCGTTTGATAAATGAATAACGTTTTTTTTGCTAATATTTATAAGTTGTCATATTATATAATGTTGGGTAATTCCAAGCTTGTGGAAACTTAACATATTATTGGATGTTTAATATGTTAAGGATAAACACAATAAGGAAATCTAGAAATAGGAAAAAGAAGTTTTCTATTAGATTAGGTTTGTGTTTTCCATATTCTACATGTTCAAGGGAATTGTCTTAACTATAAATATAGGTCTTATGGAGAGGTGTTTCATATGATCTAAGAGAAACATATTGTGAGCTTTAGTTTTGAGTAGTTTCTAAAGCTAATAAGAAAAGTTGTTCTTATAATCTTTTGTGTTTCTAGAGATTTGATATAACATAGTCAGTGTTCAAAAACACAGATCTTAAAAAAAAAAAAAAAAACAGATCTTTTACAATAGGAAATAGAAAATGTCAAGTTTTTATGGAATAATGTGATAAGATATACTATAGTAAACTGAGTTGGATCACATCAAATATTCGGTTTGAAAAATATTCGTTTCGGAAACTGTTTGCATGAATATGCTATATGCACTACGTCAATTATTGAAGAATGTATAGCTTAAATGGTAGCTTTCCAATATATATCTAAATCATAGTCATATCCTAATAAGAACGATGAGGTGTATCAAACCAAGATCAAACATATACCTTAATAATCATCCATCACTCTCAAATCTATAGTCGTAAGAAATCTTCTTTTGTCTTATCTATTTCTTCACGCTTTAGTCTTTCGAGTTAATCCTCGAGATCTTGAAAGAAACTTCGACTAAAACTCACATTTACCAAAATCGTAAGTAAAATACTAAGTAATTAAGAAAAAAAATAAGCATTGTGTGCTCTAGTACAAAATTAAATACGTCATTTATAGTAATTAAAGAGAGGAGACACTTACGATGAAAAGATAGAGAAGCAACAGAGAAGATCTAGTGATAATAAATAAATAAAATTTAATTTGAAATGGATAGTCAGAGACTGCTTATTATTAGCCAAGCGAAAGAGAAGGAGAAATAATGAAATATGATGAAGAACGAGTCTCGAGCTCCTCGATTCTTTAACTGTTTTTATTACTGATATGACATTTTTGATAGAATATTACCCCCAGACGAATATTTCTCGAAGATAGAGTGTTAGTTGACTTTTAAAAAATTCAAAAAATTAACCGAACACATTCAATGAAGGAACATATACCAAAATACATAATCTGATGTAATAGGGGAAAGCAGTTAGAAACTACTAGGAAATTAGATGTCGAAGTCAAAGCATAAATCACAAAATGTTAACCAAGGCTATGCATGTATGGTATCATTAGCGTAAAATAAAGCAAGTGGAAATTTATTTCAGTTTATTTACTCTGATTTTTTTCCAGTCAAGTGGAAAAGATTTCAGCTCATTTACTCTAATTAGGTGAGAAAAGTAAAGTAAATGTTTCTTCAATTTTTTTAGATGAAAATGTTAACGCTGGATTTGACAGTTTTCTTTTCTCCCATTTTCACCTTGACATTTCCACTATTTTACTCCAATAATTATCAGTCACAACCCAAGATTTTTCGTAATAGTGTTGTGATAATATAATTTTATTTATAGTTAATATACCTAGAATTAGGATGTAACAAACAATTAGAGAAATTATGGGATGTTATATAAATATATAGATAAAAAGGGGGTTTATTTGAAATAAAGTGCGTCATATGGGACAAGAAATCAGAATGCTTCCAGGGATGAGACACTAGAGATGTGTCAGTTTCACTACATCATTCCAACGAGACAGGTTGAGAAATCCAACGAGCAGTACAGCAGCAGCCGAGCTACAACGATCTTTTCTTTACTCGATTAGCCCTAGTTTTAGGTTTTTTCTCTTTTCTTTTTCTATACCAAAATCGGGCATTATTACCTTTTTTACGTCAGACTTTTTTCAGACGAAATCTGTTCTTTTAGGATTTTTTTTCATTAAATCTGATAAGAAAATAACAATCCAATTAAACTGTTTTCCTAAATTTTTTTTGGGAACTTATATATATATATAATTTTCTTTGAAAAACTTAGGATCCAAACCCAATGTTTCATTGAATTTAGTCCAGGCCCGGTCCTAGTTCCACCAACCATGAATATCACCATCTCTTGTGATCTGTTTAACCACAGATTATGTAACTCTTAATTAGTCAATGCAAGTTTACGTGAATATCAAAACTCTGTAACCATGAGTAGTCATAAGAATAATAAAAAATTGTAACACATACCGCCCTGTTGAAAATGATCTCCAACAAATTAATGGGTAATCCATCTCGTAATCTCCCTCTCGTTATGCTCTCCTTTGTTTGAAATAGGAGATAATATTGATTACGAGACAAATTTGAGTATGATATAATTTTGCTTCCTAATATGTGATGGGACAAAGCGCTTAATCGATAGCAAACCCCATTTTAATCAACATAATCAGCTTTGCCGAAAACGATTTTGAGTTAATTTTATTCTTCTGCAAAAATCTCTTTAAACATTCGATCATGACACCGTAACTTCAAAAAATAAACAATTTTTTCTAATTGATTGACTATCTTAGTTAAAGCTATTGAGACTCCCTTGCAAACTGTAAGCTACTCAAAAAAATATCAACAACACCAAACAAAGTAGCTAATTTTTGTCACCATTTACCTTTCAAAAATCAGCCTTCATATGTTTTAAAAAATAAGATTCTAATCTACTTCTTTGACGGCCAAATATTTTATTGGAATATATTGTACATATCAGTCCACTTTATTACATACTTTCCAGTATGTGCATACTATTGGTAGAATATCATATTTTGTAAGTTTATCCACATCAAAAAGTCGACAGCGAGGTAGGTGAACAGAACTATATTTCTTATAAGTAGATGATAATGAAAGGATATATTTGAGATATACAGATATTGATACATCACAAGGTGTTCATGATTGAGCTTGACAAAGAATCATATAGGATTTTAGTATCACCTTTAAAAGTAACTTTTTGCTTATATCAGCTTGCGAATCTATTTTATAAGTTCATGTTAGCTATACTGAGATGAATAATCTGTTTTGTTTATTGAAACCAACGTGTCTTATAAATCGAGACTTACAAAACATTATCTTAAGATACAAAGTTTTATCTAAAATATTCACATATCATTCATCAAATATATGTTACATACGAAAATTACATGAAATGACTTTGTCAACCGTTGCGTATGTATGGAAAAATTATTGTACTTGGAATATATTCGAAAAAGGAAAAGTCACCACTCAACCCAAGTTCAGAAATTAAAGCATCGATAAGAAACATTTTATAAGAGAACTAATATTAAACAATTCATATAATATGACAAACAATAATGATAAGATTTTGAGACTCGTCACACACTGACACACTTATATAGAGACTCTATTGTGATGAGTCATTCATGTTCTCTAACTTTTTCCAAGACAAAAAGAAAACCTAGAAGAATTGGAAGAGACAGGTGAGAATAGTTACTATGGAGAGTTTGGGAGAAGAAGATCTAGAAAAGCTTGTGCTCGATTATATTGAGCCTCCGATCACCGTCCTGGATCATGTGGAGAAGTCTTCAACTGCTCTACTAACCCTTCAGGTCTCTTTATCTATTTTCATCGGTCAATGCATATACTTCTCTTTTGCTTCATAAGAATATTACATCTCATATTACATATATATATTCACAGAAGATTATTGAGAAAAAAGGAGAAGAGGAGAAGGAAATGGAAGAGAAGGTAAAGTGGTTTATCAGAAGAAAAAGATTATCATACAAAGGAGACGAAGAGAAGCAAGATGTGATGGAAAAGCTTGTATCTAAGCTTAGATCTGATGGCTACAATGCTTCTATCTATAGAACCTCGTGGGATTCTTCTATTGACCGCCGTGGAGGTAATAAAAAAATATCATTTTGGTTTCAAAAATAAACATTTAGAAAAGTATTCATGTGATTTGATCTGTGAAGGTTGTAATAAAATATCATTTTGGTTCTAAAAATAAACATTTAGAAAAATATTCATGTGATTTAATCTGTGAAGGTTGTAATAAAATATCATTTTGGTTCTAGAAATAAACATTTTAAAAAAATATTCATGTGATTTATCTGTGAAGGTTGTAATAAAATATCATTTTGGTTCTAGAAATAAACATTTAGAAAAATATTCATGTGATTTGATCTTCGCAAAGTAGAAGAGTTTTTACCTTTAATTTTGGAAAGTTAGGTCAAGTTTTTTATTTGTTGTTTTTTTGTGAAAATGTAACACAGGATGTAGAATGTTTAGGTGTGCGAGGAAGTATGAATACATTGAGGTCATTGTGGCAAGTGACCAGGACGGTGATGAGGGAAGCAAGCAACGTCTGATGATAATTGATCTTGATTTCAAGTCTCAGTTTGAGTTAGCGAAACAGACTAAAGGTTACAAAGACGTGACTCAGATGCTTCCTACAGTGTTTGTGGCCACGGAAGAGAGACTCAAAAGAGTTGTTTCATTGGTTTGCTGTGAGTTGAAAGAGTCCATGAAGAAAGAAGGAATGTCTAGACCACCATGGAGGACTACTAGATACATGCTAGCCAAGTGGCTACCTGAGAATCGTCGAAGAGTCTCTGGTTCTGAGAATGGATCTTGGTCTATGTTTGATGATGATGATGGTGAAGCTGTTGGGATATGAGTGGTATTGGTTTGTAAACTATGTGTTGTTTTTCTATTTTCTGAGAGGGATGCACTATTGTGTTATTTCCGCTTCCAAAACTATTGAAGCGGGCTAATTAGGAGTCATTTAAGAAAAAAAGGAGGATGATTAAATTATCTCGATTTCCACAATTCTGCATCTGTTTTTATTAATGATAATAAATTCAGTCCTTCAAAATCCAACTTGATAGGGTTTAATTGCACATACAGTTTAAAAGAGAAGAATTGTTTCTAGGTTTTATCTTCTACTTCTTCTGTTTTTTTTTTTTTTTAAATTGTCACTTTGACATTTTTTGACCAAAAAATTATAATGCCTTAGTATTTATAATAACTATAACTATATAACAAAGAGTGATTGAGATAAATAAAAGTATTTAAAAACCAATACATTTTGTAATACTAAAAATCTATACAAATTTCATTGAAAACATAAACCGCCATTTACTATCACCTTTTAAAATGACTTTTGTATATCAGAGCTTTCTCTTCTCCACCCACAGCCATTGGCAATACCACTGCCTCAGCTTGCTAATCTGTTTAAATTCATGTTAGCTATGCTGAGATGAAGAATCTGGTTTGTTTATTCAAACTAACGTTTCTTATAAAAATCAAGACTTAAAAAACATTATCTTAAGATACAAATTTTATCTAAAATAACCACATATCATTCATCAAATATGTGGTATATACGACAAGTTGAATATGACATGAAACGACTTATTCAACCGTTGCGTATTGTGTGGCATGAAAAGAAAAAATATCGTACTTCGCAAATATTGGAGAAAAGAAAATCACAACTCAACTCCCATTCATAAATTAAAGCATCAGCGACAAACATTTTATAAGAAAAAAAAACAATATTAAGAGAACAAATACTTATTAAACAGTTTATATAATATGGCAAATAATAATGATAAGATTTTGACACGTCACTCACTTATAAAGAGATACTCTATAGTAAGTCATTTTTGTTCTTTAACCTTTTCCAAGAAAACCTAGAAGAATTGGAAGAGCCAGTGAGAATAGTCACTATGGGGAGTTTGGGAGAAGAAGATCTAGAAAAGCTTGTGCTCGACTACATTGAGTCTTCAAACAGCGTCCTGGATCATGTGGAGAAGTCTTCGACTGCTCTAGTAACCATTCAGGTCTCTTATCTATTTTTTTCATAGGTCAATACATACTTCTTTTGCTTCATAAGTATTATTACATCTTATATTACATATATAACTATATTCAGGAGATTATTGAGAAAAAAGGAGAAGAGGAGAAGGAAATGGAAGAGAAGGTAAAGTGGTTTATCAGAAGAAGAAGATTATCATACAAAGGAGACGATGAGAAGCTAGATGTGATGGAAAGGCTTGTTTCTAAGCTCAGATCTGACGGCTACAATGCTTCTATCTGTAGAACCTCGTGGGATTCTTCTTTTGTTGGAGGTAATATAAAATATCGTTTTGGTTTTAAAAATAAACATATAGAGAAAAGTATTCATGTGATTTGATTTGTGAAAGTAGTAATAAAATGTCATTTTGGTTCTAAAATAAACATTTAGAAAAGGATTCATGTGATTTGATCTTTGCAAAGTTGAATAGTTTTTGCTTTGATTTTGGAAAGTTAGGTCAAGTTTTTTTTTTTTAATTTGTTGCTTTTGTGAAAATGTCACACAGGGTTTAGAGTGTTTAGGTGCGCGAGGAAGTACGAGTATATCGAGGTCATCACCGGAAGCAAGATGAAACGTATTATTATTGATCTTGATTTCAAATCTCAGTTTGAGCTATTGAAGCAGACAGATGGTTACAAGGACGTGACTCAGATGCTTCCGACAGTGTTTGTGGCGACAGAGGAGAGACTCAAAAGAGTTGTTTCGCTTGTTTGTGGTGAGATGAAAGAGTCAATGAAGAAAGAAGGAATGTCTAGACCTCCATGGAGGACTACAAGATACATGCTAGCCAAGTGGCTACCTGAGAATCGTGGAAGAGTTTTTGGTTCTAAGAAAGGAGACTGGTCTATGTTTGATGATGATGGTGAAGGGGCTGTTGAGACAACGAGTGGTGTTGTTTTGAAAACTACATGTGGTTTTCCAATTTTCTAAGAGGATGTGTGGTGTTTGTTTTTTGATTAACTTTTGGTCTCGAGATTTTTTTTAGACGTTTTTGAACATTAGTTGTGTTTTGTCTGATGTCATCATGAAAATGGTACATCTTGAAACCTTTTGGATTATCAAGATGCTTTAAGTGAAAAGTTATCTAAAGTCAGATACCTAATTAACTAAAAAACTATGCATTGTATATAACTAAAATGGAATAAGTCGTTGACTTGAATTTTGAATGAAGCGAGGAGATAATTTAGATGAAGGAGGAGAAGAAATAGAGATGATGTTTGTAATTAAATAACACTTGATTTGCAATGCACAGCACTGCTCCTCAATCCTGTATCTGTTTTATAACTTTTTATTACTGATATGACATATTAATAAATTCAACTTGATATGGTTTAGTTCAATCTCGAGCTTCTTAAATTGCACATAACTGTTTAAAGAGAAGGATTTGATCCTAATGAGTGAAACTTGTTTTCTAGGTTTTAAGTTGTATTTGTTATTAGTTCTGTTTTTTTTTTTAATTATGTTTTTGGGGTATCTGCAGGCTTTTTGCTCTGGTGTTTATCTATAGTACATGTCGCTAGAGATAGCTTTTTGGTAGTCGGTTTTGTCAGGCAATCCATCTTGTCCTATGGTAGGATAATTGTGTGTACGTATTGAATTAAAATGAACTTTACAGTGACACTAATAGAGAAATTGGCCATACAACAACAGAAACTAACAGTTCCGATGTGCAAAGTTATAACTCAACTAATACGAAATTTAATATATAAACTTTTAAATATAATTTTAACAAACATTGACATAATTTTCTTTAGTCAAACATTACAAAATTATGAATAAATCTGAATTTGAAATTGTTAGTTAAATTTACGTGGGTAGTTTGTTTTCATAGAATTTTAACAAAATTATGAATGAAACTGAATAAAATGAAAATTTAGGATTAGATAAGAGAAACATTCTCATTTCTCCCTTTTCCAATTTATTCTTTTTTTTATCTTTTCTATGTTAGGATTTTGTCAAAGAAGTCAAAGAACAAAAAATTTAAGAAAAAACTAACTTATGAATTACACAAGAACGATAATGTTCTTCAATAGTTTTTTCAATGCAATTACCACATAATATAGTCTATTTACCATGTAATCAAATCTGTTACAGATAATTTATCTGACATAATATTTGATTAACAAAAATTAGATAATGTATGTTAATAGATATATGTTTTCAAAAATGTGAAGTGCTTTGCACCAAAAAAAAAATGTGAAGTGTTTATAAATCAATCATGACTCTTGGATTTATTTAATGTAGGAGCATACTCACTTTCTATGATTAATAGCATTCCATCAATAACAAGAAATCATATCAGTGTTTGTTAAAATCAGATTTCAATCATGTATTAAATTTGTTTTGTTTTAAATTGATGTACATTTTTACACTATAAAATATTTATGTATTGATTGGAACTGTTAATTCTGTTACGGTTGGAATTATCATATTTATAGCTTCTATGTTGAATTTTTTAGTTCTGTTTTTATTTTTTTATCTAGTTCTGAGTTTAGGGTTTGTCTAGCACATATTTTTTTTTTTAATTATCAAGAGATTTAGGAAAATCCCAATCCTCTAACGCCTAAAATCACTGTAATATTAATTTTGTTTCAGGATCACTTGAACCACGGAACTTTGACACTATAGAGTGTGATTGGTAACTACAAAAGTAAATGGGAGTAAATAATATGGAGTAATTGGGCGTAACAATACTAGAGTAATAAAATGCAAAAAAGAAAAAGAAAATGTCACTTCAAGCGTAACAGATTTTTCTCTTCACATAACAAGAAGAACAAAATAAGCAAGTTTACTCTATTTGAATAGTTACTAGCGAAAAAATGGGTGAAAAGTTTTCAACCTGATTGGATAGATAATAGCTGAAGTGGGAGTAAATTTATTTCTCGCTAGTCAGTGCCTTTTCCAGTGGAACTCATAGTCTCTGGTAAAAATAATTTAAATCAAGCACATATCTCTAGAAATAACCTTTTGATAGAAGTGTTTTCTCGAGCAAATCTTGATCTTTGATGGGATACCTGTATAACTTTATGGTGATTAAATTGTTCATATATGACACAAAATGAGTAAAGATCATCTAGCTGTGTGTGAAAAGACAAGAAGTAAGATTGCTTGCAGAGATGCGACAGAGGTATGTGTCAGCTTTCATTCACATCTATCTCCAGACGATAAAACCAACGGTGCATCAGTAGATACTCAAATTAGCTGTATTTCTATGCTTTCTCTTTTCCTAAACCCTTTCCCAAAATCGGCTTTACTTTTGACGTCAGTCAGATTTTAAAATGTATTCACTTCAAATACAAATACTCGTAAATGCCCATATAAATCTTCATTTCTCCCGACAGTTTGAATTGCCTTACCTTAATTCACACCTATTACGTAAGTTAAAGTCCAAGCCCACGATCTGCGGCCTCTGTATTCTCAGGCCCATGTTACAGCCCAATTGCCAAAAGCCTGATAAATATATTAAGCATGTCGATCTGCTAAAAAACGTGGACTGATTTATCCTAGTGAACCGGAACTGATGAAATCGAACCGATTAAAAAAATTGATTCTTAGCCGCAAACTTGGTTTCGCGTTTCCGCGAAAATCAACTTGCGAGAGAAGATGGATTTCGTCTGTTGTTTCCGACCGCATCAATCTTGTCGGGGAATTTCAGTTCTGCCTGCTTTTGGCACTAGGAGCAGTCTCTCCGCCGTTAATTGCCTCCGCCCCGTAACAAGTCTCTGCATTAGATTCCCGACGACGCCGTTTCTTCAGTATCCGAAATTTTCCATAAAGACTTACGCAAAGAAGAAGAAGAAGAACAACACTAAAACGAGTATCTTCGAATCTAAACCAAACGGAGAATCACTCATTGAAGAAGAATCAACAAACGAAGAAGAAGAAGATGATGATGAAGAAGATGAGCAAGTTCTTCTTGAAGATGTTCTAGACGGTTCGTATTAATCTAAAGATTCTCTCTAACTTGTCCTTGACTTTGTCGTGTAGTGGTAAGAAGATACACTAAGTTACATTGTTTCTAGACACGTTTTCAGTTTATTGTTTAGTTTAGATATTTTCTTAAATTTAGAATACTCTAAAACATTCGGAAAAAAAAAAAAAAAATCTATGTAACTTGATCGCTAAGGATGTTTATTGCTGCTGCAGAGCTGCTAACTGATGAAGAAGAAGACGATGACTTCTACCTAGAAGAGGAGGAGGAGGAGGAAGAGGAAGAACTCTATGTAAGTCTCCTCACTTATGAAACATTACATTTTTTTTTTAGTTTTGCATTTCTCATTTCTTGATTTTGATCTGTTAAAAAAGGCTGGAGATGGAAGTGGTGGAGGAGGTATCAAGCTTGCTGGAACAACATGGGACAAAGAAGCATTGTCCTTAGCTGAAAAAGCCTGTGAGTCTTTTAACGGTGAGATAGGCATTTACGCATTCAAGACTCTTCCAAACTCCACCATACAAGTGAGAATCGAACGGCTTACTAACAAGTCCGGTTCTCCAACAATGGAGGACGTTGAAGCGTATTCAAAAATCTATAGAGCTAAACTGTCTGAAGCTGAGCTCGCTAAGTCTATACCAGACAACATCTCTTTAGAGGTTTAGTTTAGTTCAGTTACAACCTTTTGATTCTCTTAACATTGTGGCTCAAAGACTCAACAAAAGGTTGAAAACATTGTGTGGAACAGGTTTCATCCCCTGGTGTTGAAAGAGTAGTAAGGGTTCCTCAGGATCTTGAGCGGTATAAGGAGAGGGCAATGTATGTTCGGTACGTTAACGAGGAAGCTGAGAGTGAAGGTGATGGTATCTTCAGGCTTGTTTCTTTTGATGTGGAAGCTAAAAGCTGCGTTTGGGGAGTTGCTGATATTAGAGTGAACCGTGAGAAGGCAGGTAAAGGCAGACCTTTAAGCAAGAAGCAAAGAGAATGGCGGCTTGAAACGTCTTTTGAGTCACTACGGTTAGTTCGTTTGCATTCTGAATGTTGAAAGATAAAATGTCTTATTTTATAGAATGAAACTATTACAACGATATGGTAATAGATTTAGAGACTTTAAAAACCAAAAAGCAGAAAGAGAAAGTAGACATTATTTGGTAGGAGAATGTTGGTTTTAAGCACCCATGGTGATGATGCAACGGATACTCTCTCCTTTCAACATGTAATCAAAGGCCTTGTTGATCTCAGAGAATGGTACTGTGTGAGTGATGAACTTCTCAAGCTCCAACTCCTTGTTCATGTACTTCTCAACGACCCCAGGGATGTCAGTTTTGGGTTTGTAGTTGCCAAAGAAAGTACCCTTGAGTGTCCTCTCGTTCAGTAAGTTCATTGGATGAGTCTTGAAGGCATCGTCTTTGCTTGGCACACCAACCAGCACCGCCACACCCCATCCCTGAGAAACAACATCACATGTCAACTATGCACAATGTAGTTAGTGTTGAATGGTTATGTCGAAGGAAGAAACATTACATCATGAACACATTCAAATGCTTGAATCATGGCTTGGATGCTTCCAGTACACTCCACACTCCTGTCCACACCACCATCTGTCATCTCAGCGATGACTTGCTGAACTGGCTTGTCATGTTCTTTAGGGTTCACAAACTCAGTCACACCAAACTTCTTAGCTGCAATGAGAACACATAGCAAACGTTATGCAAGTGAAGAGTTTAGATCAGAGAAGACTTTTTAAACTAACCTTCCTCAAATCTCTTGGGGTTAAGATCAACACCAATGATCCTACCAGCACCAGCAATCCTAGCACCTTCCGCAGCGGCTAAACCAACAGCACCAAGACCAAAGATAGCAACACTCTGACCTTTCTTCGGTTTAGCCACATTCAAAGTAGCTCCCAACCCAGTGGATAAACCACAGCTCACAATGCAGACCTTGTCAAGAGGAGCATCAGGATTGATCTTAGCGACTTGACCAGAGTGAACCACAGTGTACTCACTGAACGTTGATGTTCCAAGGAAATGGTGAATCGGTTTGCCGTTGATGGAGAATCTTGATTCACCGTCGTGTATCATCCCTCCTCTCTCGGTGTTGATCCTGAGAAGGTCACACATGTTGGATTCTTCTGAGTGGCAGTGACGGCAGTCTCCACATTCTCCGGTGAAGATTGGGAGGACGTGATCTCCTGGTTGAAGATCAGTCACTCCTTCTCCAACACTCTCCACAATCCTACAACAACAACAAAACTCAAATCTCTAAACCATAAAAAACAGACCAAAACTGAGAGAAGGTTAGTGATTCATTACCCTCCAGCTTCATGTCCGAAGATACGTGGAAACAAAGGCGTTTGTCCCTGTAGAATCACAACATGTTTGATTAAATACAGAACCAGAGACAGAACATGAGGCTTGGAATCTCTTACCTTAGCTTCCCAGAAGTAAACATCGGTGTGACAGAGAGAAGTGAAGAGAATCTTGATACGAACTTCATGGTTCTGCGGTGGAGCAACTTCTACTTCCTCCATCACAAGTGGCTTTCCTGCTTCCCATGCCACAGCAGCTGCAACAACAATAAGAACACTTAATGATCAAAGGTAAACCCTCAAATGGTGAGATCTTATTATAAAATAAAAAGATGATATAAAAAGGTGATGAACCTTTGCATCGAATAATCTGTCCAGTAGTAGACATGATGATCAACAGTGATGAACTTAGATCTTACTTTGGTTTTTGTTTTGTGTGTGATTGTGAGGAGATGAGAGAAGCTGAGAATATGTATTTATAGTGAAGAGTCCGTGTTGACAGATATACCATTGGAGTTGGACAGTTCTAGGTTTCACTTTTACTAGGGGCGTTTTTGCCTTTGGTTTTTTGCCTAATAGTTCTTCCACTTGGCGCTCACGACAATCTTCCACGTGGCATTTGTTTCCATATTAATTACGATTCTAGCAATTAATTAAATTAAATTAAAACTTTTGTCTTAATGCTCAAGCCGTTGTTTTTTTTCATTCTAAAAGCAGCAGGTCGGCACCCATCGAAATGCTTTGTCTGGTTGGTTTAATCTTAATTTGGTAATTAGGTAGCATTTTGAATAATATCCTTGGCCATCAAGATGTTTGATCAAAAAAAAAAAAAAAAATCCTTGGCCATCAAGATTTTTTGTTTTTTTTTGGAAAAGTATTCTTGGCTATCAAGATGCAATTTTTGTAGTTAATGTTGGTGATATTATTTGGTTCTTAATTACATCCTTGGCCGTGACTCTATAGTCGTAACAACGATAACATTTGAGAGTTGTTTAATTTTCTTTTCCTTACGTTCCTATATTATTTCTTTTGAAGCCGACAATGTATTTGTGTGAATATAGACTGTAAGTTGTTTTCTATAAGTAAACTTTAAGATGGTTATATATTTCAACAAGAAAACAATGGTCATATATATATATGACAAAGTCATGCGAGCTAGCTAGCTAGGATCTCTCAGAATGATGGCATTTTTGATATATTCATGTGTATTAATTAATAATCGTCTCCTAATGCATAATATTTGGTTTGATATTGGTCTTTGTGACAAGAATTTCATGATAATTCCTATATGAATCATGCTTTCAGTATAGATAATAAAACCAGTGATCAGCTTACAGAAATCAAACGTTGAAATAATATTCACGATTAATTTCTTGACCTTAACCTCTAGGCAAAGGCACTTACCTTCAATAGGTTCAATGTTAAATATTAATTAAGTACATATTAATTGAGTCATTGACCAGTAATTTGAATGTAATCGCTAATCTTTCTTACAAGCTCTTAAGAACAACTAGCTCACTAATCTCTATTTCAACGTCCCTTTATTGTGATTTTTTTCTTTCTTCAATGTTGTTGTTGGATCATAGGCCCAAGAGAACGTAGTATAGAATAGTTACTGGTAAAGATACTATCATACCAAAGATAACCCTGAAAACAAATTAAAAACACAATAAACTCCAACATATTAAAAACAATCAAACTATTAATGTAGAAATGATTAAAAAAGTAAAGAACAAGAAACTCACAATGTACTGAGTAAGTCTGGATGCAAACCATACTCCCTCGCAAACACAAACGGTACTATTCCTTGCGGTAGAGCCGCCTATGCATGAAACAAAAACATATAGTTCTCATCAAGTTCCAAGTAAACTTATATAATCAACGTTAGAAAATTCAAAATATAGCCACATTTATATGAACCAAGGTTTACCTGTACGATGGCAGCATGTAACCTAGAACCTTTCAATCCAACGATAACTGAAGCGGCAGCCATGAAAGCGGGACCTGAGATGAACCTAATCAACATCCCCATTGTTGCTTTCTTCGCCCCACAAGCGATCATCTTTGGTTGCAACGCCATGAATAGACCTGTAAATTTAAATGTATTTACTATTTTTATATGCTTAAAAACAAAAATATTTTATCTAGCTATCACTTAAAATAAGAAAAATATCATACCTAAACTAAACATGGCCATTCCAAGACCTGCATCTGATATTATCTTTATCGAAAACGCAACAATATCTGGCAACGCTACATTCCATCTGCTCATCCATTATTACAAAAAGTTAAATTTAACTATCAAATATTTGATTATAGAAGGATTTAAAGAATTGATTACTAACCTGAATGATATAAGTGACCAGACTAGACCTATGATGCTAGAATAGGTGTTAGGGTTTCGAGAAAGCTTGCGTCCCACGACAGTTAGTATGAGCCGTACCATCAAAGCAGCACTTGGCATTTCTTGCTTGCCGATAGCAGCAGCCGGAGCTGTATCTTTCCCGGCGGCTCCTTCCTCCATGGAACAAGCAACACCGGCTGCTGTAGGCGGTGGTGCAGCCCTAAGTGCGTCTCTGAAGCTGATCTCCTTCTCTGGAACTGCTACATAATTATGTATACACACGTCAGCAAATGCATACACTAACATATAATCGTCTTGTTATACTCATAATAGTGGAATGTACTAATGAGAAATTATAATTAAAAGAAAATTATTTAAAAATCATGCGTCGGTTTCGCTAATGATTACACACGTGCTGAAGGAATATGATTGCCTCTTTTGTTAGAAAAAAAAAGATTTGACTTGTTCACAATTTATGTGATGTTATTGATTATAGTAAGCTTGCGGGTGGTATGAGGGGTCCCCTTTTTTTACATGCTTCATCATGTTGTTTCATTAGAATCTTAAGCTCAAAATCATGAGATAAATGATAATATTGCTAACCAAATTAAAAATATGCACACTTAAGTATTAAAACAAGACAAATTAATTAAATTAATTAATTAGTATGTTCTGTATTTCTTGGGATTTGTAAGATAAAAGTGACATAAGCTAAGTTTTAATCTGAAAAAAAGCTGTATTTTATGTAGTCTCACAAGGCTTTTCTATTTGTCAAATTTTATAAACCAAAAGACAAACTAATAAAAAAAATAGGAAATAAATAATTGAGATACGAAAAAAGCAAAGGAAAACGACCAAACGGCGTCGTGTCAGTGCTTAACCACACATGTTTCAAAGAAAAACGTACCGTTGATAGTATCTTTGGCTACATGTCTCTGCCCTGACTCCCACGTCATCTTCGGCGACGCCACATGCCGGTATATTCTCCCGGCGACAGGAGACTTCATCCAAACCGGCGTACCGCCACTGTTAACGTCAAGCTCATTAAAGTTCGAGGCACGTGGCGTCGGCTGCAACGAGTAAGCATCGGAAGAAGCGTAACCCGATAGTCTCCTAGGGCTAACACCACACCCTTGTCGTGTAAACCCAAACCCACCTAGATCACCGTTACAAAACATGATCTCGTTATTATTACCGTTATAAAACTGAAGTGCACCACTTCCTCCTCCACCGTTAAAGAAACGGTTAGGAGTGTTGACGGAGAAAATCTCGGCGTTAGAAAGATTTGAGGCTCGAGGTGTTAGGCATAGAGAGGAAGAGACAACGGAGTCGGGTACGGATGATATTGACCTTCGGATCCTAAGCCTTACACGACCGTTGATATCGGTTTCAGTCTCTGTACGGAGAGGATCCATGCCGTCTAAGGAGATGACGTCATCGTCGAGTTGGATTCTAGTGATTGACCCGGCTGCTTGACCCGGAAACTCGGTTCGGATTAGCAACCTGGCTGCTCGGAGTTCAAAGAGGAAGAGTAGTAGAGTATACCTATAAACATAGATATATTCACATTTAGTATCATAGGTTATAAATAATTCAGCTAATTAATTAAATAAATTATATCCAACAGTTGGCTTAATTCAAAGAAATATATACACCGATAAATAATGTATTGTTAGTGTTTTATAAATCAGAAGCAAATTTATTTAAAATAATTTTGAATCTATAGAGTTTTTAAACTTTGTATTTCTACAAAAAAATATTGTATAGGAAATAAACGTACCAAATGATGCATTGAAGAACAACGAGTTGGACCATGAGGTTTGCAGTGTTGTCACCGTACATAGCTTGGAGCAAAGGGATGCCCATAACGAGAGTGTTGGGGAGAGTGGAGACTGAGAAGAGAGTGATGAGCCAATCTAGACCACCGGACTTGAAGAGAATGGCCCATAGAGAGAGCAAAACTAAGACCATGAGTTTGGACAAAGTGTCCGCTACGATGAACATCATGTCCATTTTGTAAGGGTTGTTTTGTGAGATGAAGTGGAAAGAGAGGATTGGGACGGCGAAAACCGAGACAAAACGGTTGATTCCAGAGCATTGCTCAGCCGTGAAGATCTTCCACCACTTGACAGATCCATAGGCTACGAACATGGCAAAGTAGAGTGGTGCCATTGCACACATAACGTTGTAGAATTCGCTTCCCTTTATCATCTTCTTTGCCCTGCAGATTCTTCTTCTTTCTTGTTAGTTTTGGTGTGTAGTTTGGTTGAGATATGTGCAAATGTGTGTTGAGTTATATAGGGACTTGTTGACGAGGTTACCCCTAGTTTGTTTCATTATTTGCGGATTCAGCATAACTAATGTGATGACATACTATGAGGGTGTCATTGTTAATGTATTTTGACTAATTTAGAAATCTGTATATAATTTATAAATCTTAGCAAAATATATTGATTTTCAAATCTAATATGTGAATTTTAATAAGTACTTACAAATTCGAGGATTTTCCTTCGGATTTTAGTCCTTTATTTTTAACAAAGAAATCCACACAAATCCATCCAAATTCATTATAAAATCAAATCCATTAATGAATCTGTATGATTGAATAACACCTGATCTGAATTAGAATTTATAAATTATAAAACCAATAACACTTAATTTTAACTTGGATTTTAAAATCATGGAACCAATAACACTGAATTTGGTTTAGATTTATAAATCCATTAAAATACATAAACCAATAACACCCACTTAGTAATTTTCATGTTTGTTCTATTTTCTTATAAATATTTTGGGATAACTTCATAAAACATGTATTACATCACCAGGGATTTATGATCTAATATTATTTTAAAAATCAAATTCAACTATAATAATTTTTACTGTATATTAATAGTAATTATTTTATATATGAATTACGTGCTAAGTTAAAATATTTCCCACAAATCATGTTAGAGCATTTCAGATGATTAGATATTTCTATAATTTTTTATTAATGAAATACTGTTATTAATAATAACTTATCTATGTTATTAAATTTAAATCATATATACAAATTAAACTAATTATAAAGAGTCATGGCAGAACATCTATTTTTGAAATATCTCATTTAAAACAGTTATTTTCTCTCTTTTTATTTCCTTAATTTTTTTCTACATATTTATTCCGAGATATTCACATCGAAAGTGCTCTTGTAAGCAGTTTTTACATTGTAAATGCATATATCCGGAGATGAAGTAGCTTAAAATTTGGTTAAGGTTTTATAAATGCAGTCCATTGTGAACCATCAAGTATAGTTTAAACCGAAGAAAACGAACAAGTATACATGTTTATTTAACTGTCGCATGATGTATAACAACGATAGAAACAAATATACTACACCACTTAAAAAATTACAGACTTCATTTGGACCATTTCATTTTGAATATGACTAATCATAACTCTTTCTTCAACAATCTTTAGATAACCAAGATAAAAACATTTTGTATACTCAAATTTTTGGTTTCCAGTGTTTTGTCTAAGTAAGCTTTTCACCTTAATCGTCTACCCACCTCTCTTGTTTTTTGGCTCTTACTTGTGATTGAGTTTCTTTGAAATAAATATTTTCTTATTGACATTGACAAAAGTAAAATGCAAACTTTTGCTATGAAAATAAGTTTTTGTTACATGAATAGTGCTTAGAATCGAGAACACCAAACTTTTGCTATGAAAAAAATTACATTTTCACTTTTCACATACAGTTTCACCAAACTTTAAACTAATATGAAGCATACTCGAAAGTGCATGTGTTTATCCAAAATTCTCTATACTTTGTGCTTTGTCAAAATAGGCTTTCGCCCAAATTATCTCCTAATTCTTTTGATTTCTTCTCTTGCTTATGATAAATTTGTTGTCTGGTGTAATTTTATAATAGCAAACTAAACTGCTATTTAAGTAAAAATCTACCATAAATACATGGACGAAAATGAAATTAAAATAATGCAAAGTAAACCATGATAATCAAAGCCACCTAACATGATGATACACTAATGAAACATAATTTCAAGTATGTCTTCTGGAACTTGTTTGATGTAGTTAACCCTCTATATATATTCTTACATTTTATTCTGGTACGCCCAATAACAATATTATCATGAGACTCGTATTTAAAAAAAAAAAAAAATGGAGGCATCAATAATTCAAGAAACCAAATCAAGTAATTAACAAGGAAGCATAATCTTATCCTATTGAAATATGACTAAGTTTTCTTAACTCAACGAATAAAAACTACATATGTCAACTTAGGTGATAACAAATTGGCCTGCCTAATGCTGATTACCTTGTTAGTAAATTCACATACATTTACACACATGTTTTTTGGTCAAAACATTTACACACATAATATATTTATATATATGTAATAAAATGTGTTCATAAAGGAAGAGAAGGAGATCCTCATAGAATCTTTTTTCAATGATATTAGCGCTATGGGTGGAAACTATACAGTGTTAGGCTTTTGCTTTAAAGCTGCTTAAAAGACTTAGCCTTTTGGAAATCTCAAGAACTAAGTCATACTAACCTTTTTCTAATTAAAGACAAAAAAAAATTATCTTGTCAACGAAAGGCTACACAAAAGTGTGGGTTTGTTGATTCCGTCCTATATGTCTAACTTAACTGATCATACTACATACTAATTAACATGTAGACAGGATCCCTGTAAGATATAATATAAAATAACCTTTAGCTATGATTATAGCTTCCAATGGCAATGACATTAAAGCCTCTGATTATCTTGTATGTATATATAATCACAAACATAAACCTGACAAACAAATTCGGATTAAACAATTTGCTTTCTCGAATCTCGACCCTCGAGTGAAGCTGTCTTTCTCGCTCTATGTTTGCAATATATATATTATTAGATCACATCTTATTTATGTGTTTCCATAGAATACAAATAAGTACACATTAAACACACCGTTGAACATGATTTATTAGTTAATATGTACACAAATATAAAAGAAAACGAATTAAACACCTCGGAAGATATAGTGAAAAGACATGATGATGGAGAAGAAGACTAAGAGGAAGCGCATGGGATCGAGGAAAAGGGAAAATATAAAGTGGGATTATGGGTAGGTTATTAAATCATATCAAATTCAAGTGCGAAAAATGATGGATTCATTTCAAATTCTGAAATTATATACCCTATTGTTTTTAGTAATAAGAATGTGTTGTTACAAAAAAAAAATATAAAATGAAAATTTGAAAAGTCAGTGAAAAGTGGTCTGAGAAAAGGGGGCAAGAACTAAAATGTGTCTGGTCTAGTCATTCAAGAGAGAGTGAGAGAGGTTGAGAGTGTGAATATCAAAGGAAAGTGACATAACATAAGTCTAACTCTCTTCTCTTCGCGTGCCATCAATTCATCATTTTGTTCGTTTCTTATTTTTTGTTGCATTGGGTCATTTTCCACCAACCTATGTAATTTTCGTTGCAAACACGGTTACATTATTCCGTCTTGTCAATGTATATGCATGTGTACATTAACAGCGTACCATACATATGATTGATATTTAGACACGTAGAAAATTCAGTTTTTTTCTTTGTTGCAATACACTTTATAAAAAACCTATAAGTTCATGTGTTCTTGATGCATTTGAGTTAAGCACATACTTCAAATTTGGATGATAAGTCATGTCTTTGCGTTTTGTATGTACTTTATGATGTTGTTTTGATAAATGGTTTTATGTGCGGCTTAAACAAATACATATACTTAAAATGAAGTACTGAATATCCGGTTCAGATATTCAGGTTTGATCACGAGCCTTAGGAGTTAGGAATAAATATTAGTTGGCCCAGTTCTTCATAATATCTCCATCACTTGTTTAGTTGTTTTGTTACAAGTGTAAAATATAAAATTTCCGTTATTAAAATATAAATGTTCTTGCTGTAGAAAGGATAGTTATAAAAATGTAACCACTCTGAAGTACTTATGGAAAAATCATGAGCGAATTCAAGGAAAATATGCACTCCCCTCAAATTAATGTTTCCAAAATTTTTATTTTTATTTTTTGTAAACTGGGAGGACGTGGGCCTTGGGCATAGCGTAAAGCATCCCTTCCAACGAAAATCGAATAGGGGCACAATAAAATCAACTCAAACACTAAATCACTAGCCAACGCACCGTTGGTTCCAGGACTTGAGAGATTGTCATCTTGTGATATTCAGATATAACACAGAAGAGAATGCAACTGTTTTCAAGAATTGGTAATTTGTTAGAATAAGATCATATCTTGTAGCTACTACATCTTTTATTATTCCCACATCTAACACTAGATTACTTCCTAAGTTCCAGTCTCCTGATGAATTTAGAGAAATCTTATAATGTTGCTTTTTTTTGTCTCCACTCTTTTCACACTCAAATGTTTTATAAACTCAAAGAAAGAAGACGATATAGAGAATGCAAAATCGTAGAATCTCCTTTGCACGTGGTGCTATAACATATATCCTATCACGTGACAAAGAGCTAACCTTATTTAGCGGAAACCATCTAATTACCTCCCGTCTAAGTGAGAGAGTCGTCTACACAAGAATAATTCATCGAACTTGTCGCACTTCTAAAATTTGTTGCCATCTGAGCTTTTAAGATATTCACGTTGACAATTTGCAGAGAAAACAAAAGACGTTACGATGGATTCCAGTATATACCTCTTTAGTTTGTTGCCGCATGCAGTTTTCTAACGTTATTACTCGCCACGTTATTATATATTATCCACATGAAGTCATGAATCTTTAGTTTTTGTTTTTTTGAAGAAGCCCTATATTAATTTTTTTTTTTTTGCTCAAATATACCTGATTTTAAAAACTATTTATTGAGCTTGGGCTACAATATATGTCTATTTTAAAAAGAAAAAGACTGTCAGAATAAGGTAAAATATCTTGATTTTATATTCTTTGGTATGGCTTCTGGTGGAACAAGAACTCAATTTCTTATTAAGATTGGAAGAAAGTTACTTTTTTGAACATTTTAGTAATATATTGTTTAATGTTACTACCTAATTACTATAAATACTTTTTACAAATTTTGAATGAAAGTTTTGTCACCTCCCGTAAGCATTTTACCCAGTAACAGCTACTACAAATGCAATGAATGACATAAAGTCAAAAAAATATTGAAAGGTATCTTTATTGTATTTAATATCCTTCATGCATATAAATATCGTCGAAACAAATAAAATTTTCCAACTTACCTTAAAAAACCATCATAACAAAATGAGCCGTGGAGTACGAGAGAGTATATCGAATCATTCCTCTAGTTCGAAAATGATCACTATTGCAATCTTTCTAGTTTTGTTTTTGGCTCATGGCTTAAGTTTTTCAGAGGCACAACTTCAGTTTGGGTTCTACTCTCAAACATGTCCATCAGCAGAATCCATTGTCCGTAACGCTGTTCAACAGGCAGTGTCCCGGGACCCTGGAACTGCAGCTGTCTTACTCCGTCTTCAGTTCCATGATTGCTTTGTTGAGGTAAGGTTATAACAAAAAAACGAATGTAAAAACATATTTTCACTAGTTTTTGTTCCGAGTTTACCAACATGAACTGGTTATATTTTGGAGGGTTGTGATGGGTCTATTCTTATCAAACACGCCGTAAATGACGACGAGAGGTTTGCTCCGGGTAACGCTGGTGTGGGTGGTTTCGATGTTATAGATAACGCTAAATCAGAGCTTGAACGTTTGTGTCCAGGTGTTGTGTCTTGTGCTGATATTGTTGCTCTTGCTGCTAGAGATGCTGTTGTTGCGGTAACACTATAAAAATAGTTCCGAAATATAATACTTTCAAAAATATTGTATTTATGTTTTTTATTATTTTTTTGGGAAAATATAATAGGCAAAAGGACCTTTTTACGAGGTTCAAACCGGTCGAAGAGATGGTCAGAAGTCAGAAAAGAGTAACGCTGCAAACTTGCCAGATGTTGAAGATTCCATAAACGTTTTGAAATCAAAATTCAGAGAAAAGGGGCTTTCAGATAAAGATCTTGTCCTACTTAGTGCTGGTAATTAATTATGATAAACCTAAATAACTAGATTAAATTTAAATATCACTTGTTTAACCAAATTTTTTATTTATGTCCAAAGGTTCTCATACTATTGGCACCACAGCATGTTTCTTCATCATGGCACGTTTGGATGCTCAAGATTCAACGATAAGTCCAGAGTTTTTCCAAGTGCTGAGATCAAAGTGTCCAAAAGGTGGTGATGTCAATGTAAGGATTCCGTTGGATTGGGAAAGCCAGTTTCTGTTCGATGTCCAGATATTTAAGAACATCAGAAATGGTAAAGGAGTTATTAAATCAGATTCTGTTTTGTACCAAGACAATGACATGAAGAAAATTATGGAGTCGTATTTGGCAAGTAACGAGAGTTCGGGGGCTAATTTTGCTGCGGATTTTGCTGAGGCTGTGGTTAAGATGGGAGCCATTGGGGTGAAGACTGGTGTTCAAGGAGAGATCCGACGCATATGCAATGCTACAAATTAGCCTCGATTAATGAAAGTTTTATATTTATTTATATATTAAAACCTAAAATATCATGAGAATGTTGGATTTAGATTAGTAAATAAAATGATGTATGACTCTTAAGACCATGATTAAAACATGTAAATAGAGTTTGGTAAATTTTAAACAGAAACTTGTCAAATATGTAAATATAATTATTTATCCATTTTTTGTAAAATCCAGTTTCTATCCGCAGCTGCTGCATTTAGATATGTAAAAATGTATTGACAAAATTGTTTAATAACAATTTTAATATATGAAATCACAATTATTTACTCGCTTATACAATCTTCAGCCTTTATATATATTTTTTTAAAACTTACATTTATATCCACAACTGCTCTATAATACTAATTCACTATTGGCTTCGGTTATTCGTTGCGAAAACTCTGGTATAAGCTTTAAATTATATGTTCAATCAAGTAATTCTCATTTAAATAGATTCGTGTATGTGAACTTGCAATGTACAAAACCTTATCACCAGATTATATGTTGGAAGAAATTAGAACATACTAAGATCATCTCCAACAAAAACCTCAAATCCTTTTTTTGGACAAAAAACCTCAAATACTAAAATTTTAAATTTTATCATTTTAACCCAACTTCAAATCTTCAAATTTTGAATTTATGAATAATGATACTTCAAATTTGAGATTTCATTATTCAAAACCTCATAACTACTATTCATTTTCTTTGTAGTCTTTACAATTATTTTCTTTTATATATACATTTACTAATTCTATTTAGAATAATTTAAATACACCAAAATAAAATAAAATAGAATAAATATTACGCAACATTAATATAAAACTCACAAAATAGAAAAATAAAATAAATAAAGTTCAGATTTGTGTGTATGTTGTTGTTTCTAAAATTTGGTAGTTTATATTTAATTTTCTATGTAGTTTGGTATATTAATAGAAATTCCGTATTGTATATGTAATTTTCTAAAATTTGTGTGTATGTGTATCGTTTTGTTATATATGTAATTTCTATTATTTTTTGTTATATAATAGTGGAATATCATGTGTTGTATAATATATTAAAATGATATTTTGTATATATTGTGAAATTTTATCATTATTAATAAATTTTGTTAATGTCAAAGACTATAATGCAGATAAATAAATTTTTAAGGATTTTTTTCGAAAATTCATGAAATAATCTAATCTTAAATTTTTATTTTAACGTTTTGCTTCCTTTAAAATAAAATTTTTGGATTGGAGATGCTTTCATAAAAAATCGTTTATCTATTATAATAAAAAAAAAAAAACACTTATCTTTTTTTCTTTTTTTTGTGTGTGTGTGCGCGCTTCAACATGACACGGCAGTGACACGTGTGAGGCTATAAAGCTACTAGTGTCAATCACAAAAGAAGCCACTGCATTACGTAACAGCCACACAAACACTCTGTTTCGATCCTTCTCCGCATCGCGAGTTCGAAACAGAGTAGTGAACAATGGAGACGACTCTCCTCCGTTTCTGCGTTAGTTTCTCCTGTCATCCACACCACAAGAAAATCTCCGCTCATCACAGAGTCACCTGTGAGATTCCACGAGAATCCGAAGACGAGTGGTCTCCCAAAGTTTTGAGTAGAAGATCGTTACTCGCAACGGTTTCTAGTTTATCATTAGTCTCCTCAACATCTCTAGCCTTTCCAGGTGAAGGATTAGCTGTCGTGAAACAAGGTCTTCTCGCCGGTAGAGTTCCTGGTCTGTCCGAACCTGATGACGAAGGTTCTTGTCTCCCTCTCTCCCTTTATCTCTCTGTTTTTGTCTGTATATGTTTCAAAACCGGACCGTAAAGCTAATACCTTTATAGTGTCCATAGCTTGTAATTTACATTTTGCATGTAGATAGATAGTCACTGAATTCAAAAATATGATTTTTTTTTTCTGAATAACCCGGTGTATCCTGGCATCCACCAAGGTGGATCCAGACTAGTGGCGAGTGTCCGTAACAGCTTATGTTATCAGTCAGAGTACGCCTCGATCACCATTACTGGACGATCACCGGAGGCTTGGGGGTATAGAGTATGTATGTAGAAAGGGTAGTATAGTCAATTATCTAGATCTAGTATTCCTACATCTAATAAGATCATTCAGTTCCAAAAACCTATAGGGGGAGCCTAGATTTTAAATTTTACCCCCAGTAACTAGCGGGATCTGATAAAATTGGAACGATACAGAAAAAAAAATGATTATTACATCCGTTGAATCATAGATTCACAAATCTTTAGGCTTTAGACTCTGTTGTTGGTGTTCCAAAAAAAAAAGAGACTGTTATTGAGTGTTGTGGAGGGTGAAAATGTAATTTGGAATGGTCTCAGGACAGGTTGGAGAACATACCGTAGACCAGACGAGAAGTCAGGAGGGCATGGTGTTGGTTGGAGTCCTATTATCCCTTACGCCTTCTCTGTTCCTCAAGATTGGAACGAGGTTTTGCTTTCTTCTTTCTTGTTTATTACGTTTTGTTTATGCTTTAAGTTTTTATCTTGCTACTATATATTGATCTATTATATAGGTACCTGTATCGATAGCTGATCTTGGTGGCACTGAGATTGACTTGAGATTTGCTAGTCCTAAAGAAGGCCGCTTGTCTGTTATTGTCGCTCCTGTTCTTAGATTTGCAGATAGTAAGTGCTCTGCTCTCTCCCACATTTAAAGTTCATGAATCGATGCAGTGTGTAATGGTTATTGGTTGGACAGACCTTGGGGACAATGTGAAGATTGAAAACATTGGAACACCAGCGAAGGTGATCAACGCTTTTGGACCAGAAGTTATTGGAGAAAACGTTGAAGGGAAAGTGTTAAGTTCAAATGTAGCAGAACATGAAGGTAGGCTCTATTACCAGTTCGAGCTAGAGCCACCTCATGTACTCATCACTGCAACAGCTGCTGGAAACCGTCTTTACTTGTTTAGTGTCACTGGAAACGGTCAGTCAAGTCTATATGATACAGAATGAACATTTTTGCTTGGTTACACACAATTGTAAATTGGTATTGCTTGTTTTGATGCTACAGGGCTTCAATGGAAGAGATACTACAAGGATCTTAAGAAGATAGCTACTTCGTTCCGTGTTGTTTAGAGAGACATATACCAAAAAAGTTTTCTTTTTGATCCATGGGTTCTTGTACAAGTGACTCGAGAGTTTTATGGATGGATCAGTCACGTACATAATGTATTTTGTATACACTTTGAAGAGTCTTGTACCTTATACAGTAAACCAAATACAAACAGTTCAACATAACGGTCTTCTCTATTTAGATTCATTAAGAAAACAGAACCTTGTTGTCTGTCTATGGCCTTCATTTGAGAGAGATTCATTTTTGTTGCAGTGAGCCATTAGTCATAGATATTGTTCCCTTTGGTGACTTACTTGCAATGGAAGCAAATCTTTTGATATACACTATTGTGCCCTCTACCTATAGTATCCTTGGTTTAGGCATGTGCAATTTACTATTTGGATATTTGGGTCTAAATATCTGAACCAAACCATATCCAAAAGTTTCGGTATTTAACGGTTTTGGAAACTGAAATCCAAACCGATCTGAAATCGATAGGTAGTGAGATGAACCGAAGCACTAACATGACTCTTAAATTAAGTTAAGAATCATGTTAGTGCTTCAGACTCTTAAGTAAGTACAAAACTCTTATATCCAAAAATCCAGATCAATAGAAAATCCGAATACTCATGCCTACCCTTAGTTCACTATAAATCCCGGTTTAGTACTCCTGGTTCAGTCTTAGTATTTAACTAAACCAACAACAAGATAAGACAGGGAACAACCACGCGCTGTCAAATTAAAATCCAAAGCACGTGGGTGTGTCTTTACCTAACCAAACACTTCACTTCTGGTCCATTTATCATCGGCCTCGGTTATCTCGTCTCTCCACTATAACCCAATCAAAACAACACGATACAGAGATAGATACTGAAGGAAACACTTATCTCGAGAAAGAGCTTCCAAGAATGTCGATGCTTATGGCTGCCAAAACCACTTCCCTATGCAACAACACCTTAAACCTAACAGCTTCACCTAGATTCCCACGCACCAATCCTCGCGCAGCGAGATTGGTTAATCCAACGGCTAGGATCCAAACACGTATCCATCGTTTGATCGAAGACCAAGGCATTATCCTAATGCCTGGATGCTACGACGCTTTATCCGCTGCCATCGTGCAGCAAACCGGATTCTCCGCTGGTTTCATCTCCGGTTACGCTCTCTCCGCTTCTCTTTTGGGTAAACCGGACTTCGGTTTGCTAACGTGCGCCATTGACTCTTTCTCTTTTGTTACTCTTTTTTTTTGTTTGTACGCTGTCGTTTTATTTGTTTTGTTTTGTCGTTTTTAGGCCGCCGGAGATGGCTGCGACGGCGAGGTCGGTATGTGCTTCGGCTCCAAACATACCCATCATTGCAGATGCTGGTAAAGTTTCAAACTTTGTAGTAAAGTTTCCATCTTTGGTAATAAAGTTTCCAACTTTGGTAGTAAAGTTTCCAACTTTAGTAATAAAGTTTAAAGTTAGAAAATTTGGTAGTAAATTTTCCAGCTTTGGTAGTAAAGTTTCCAACTTTGGTAATAAAGTTTCCAATTTTGGTAATAAACTCAATATAACAAGTTACTAAGAATGCAAAGAGACATAACAAAGGCTTGTTTTGATTCTTTGGTTAGAACATAACTGAGATGAAACTATGCATAGTTCTTATCTTAGGAGATTCATTGATATGTTTCAGACACTGGTGGAGGCAATGCACTAAACGTTCAAAGAACTGTGAAAGACTTGATCGCAGCTGGTGCTGCTGGTTGCTTCCTCGAGGTAATACATTTAGTTGTTGTTGTGTATTGTATTTGACTTGTGTTTAATTTGACATTTTTGTTTGGTTGTTTCTTGTTAGGACCAAGCATGGCCAAAGAAATGCGGTAAGTGTGTGACACATCTTCTTCATCAAGTCATTGTAATAATCATTCATTTTATGTTTTTTTAATGTGTTTTCTGTGTTAGGTCATATGCGTGGGAAACAAGTTATATCAGCAGAAGAACATGCTGCCAAGATAGCATCAGCACGAGACGCTATAGGAGATTCTGACTTCTTCCTTGTAGCAAGAACAGACGCACGTGCCACTTCTGCAAAGTCAGGGCTTGAAGACGCCATTGCGCGTGTCAATCTCTACATGGAGGTAGGTACCAAACAGATCATTATAAAGTAGAATCAAAATATCAAATGTAATATAAAACAGATTTTGTCTTAAACTGTGAAGGCGGGAGCTGATGCTTCCTTTGTGGAGGCACCAAGAGACGATGATGAGCTCAAGGAGATAGGCAAACGCACAAAGGGTTTCAGAGTTTGCAACATGCTTGAAGGTGGAGTCACGCCGTTGCATACCCCTGAGGAGCTTAAAGAAATGGGGTTTCATTTGATTGTTCACCCTTTGACCGCACTCTATGCATCTACTCGAGCACTGGTGGATGTTCTCAAGACTCTTAAAGAAAACGGAACCACGAGAGGTCATTTAGAGAAGATGGCTACTTTTGAGGAGTTCAATAGTTTGGTTGATTTGGAGTCATGGTTTGAGCTTGAAGCTCGTTACTCAAACCTTAGGAACGCTCTTGGGACTACTACAAAATCATGAAGAGGCTGCTGCTACAACAGAGGCACTAAGTGTTTTTTTTCTTTTTCTCTTTGAAATGTCTGAAGCTCTTCTGTTTGGTAATTTTTCAGACGATTGTTTAAGCAATTGTCTCACCAATAAGACAAGAATGTAACTTCTGCAGTCGTATTTATTATTTCCTCCTATTTATCCGAAAATTCTGAGCAAAACAAAAACATGTAAGTATTGATACTCCATTTATTTCATACTAAAAGTTGTTATTGAGTATTTTTGTTTCAAAATATAAGTTATTTTTTACATTTATTCTTGAATAATAAGTAACCAATTATATAATCTATAACATTTTATGATTAATTGAATTATGTTTAATTTTTAAGACAAATCTTATTACATTTTTTCAAATAAACACTTACTAATCAATAAAAAAAAACTAAAATAACTTACAATCTAAGTCATAAACCTACATCACATCTCCTAAATACTTAACGATAAATTAACCACTAAATCCTAGACTCAAATCTATAAACATATTATTATCACTTTTTAATATATGATATTTTCAAAAATATTTTTTCTTTTATTCTATATTTTATCAAAAAATATTTATATAATTTTTATATTATTAGAATCCATACTCATCCGGATTTTACTACTCAGACTCTAAACTAATAAAAAAAAAGCAATATTTTTGTTACAAGTGTCACCTTCAAGTAAATTCCTGGTATATTATTGGAAGAGTAGAAATAAATGTACAGGACAATTTTGACAACTTGGTTCTATGGTGTAGTGGTTAGCACTCTGGACTTTGAATCCAGCGACCTGGGTTCGACTCCCGGTAGGACCTATATTTTTGTTTTAAAATTTAATTTTCATTTCATTAAATGATAATTTATACAGATTACAGTCGTATTTATCAATCATGATCATCATCATCTTCTTTTTCTTCAATACGTTCAGCGATACAGAAAAGATATGGTTTGCTTGATTAATAATGATAACAAAGATCTTGAAATGGAATAATAAAAAAAGGAGGGCATGAGATGAGTGAATGATATAAAAGCATTGAGTGGACAGTTAAAAAGAGATAGTGAAAGTGTAGTGTAGCCTCCCCTCTATAAAGTTTTTATTTATTAAATCAAAAGTGCATAACTGTAAAGACATCTCTTTATTTGCTTCTTCAAGCAGATCACACACACACCCTCTCTTGTGTCCCAACTTCTTCTTCTTCCCCATATCTCCTAAAAACATCACACAAAGACACCAAACCAACCTTTCTTTTCTTGTCTACACAAAAAAGTTACATCTCTCTTGCTTTGATCAGATCATGGTGAAGGAAACAGTGTACTATGATGTTCTTGGTGTCACTCCCTCCGCTTCCGAGGAAGAGATTCGCAAGGCTTATTACATCAAGGTTTGTTGTTTTAATTAATTTTTTTTTCTTTAGAGTTTTCTCTGTTCTTGGATGACTGACTCTTAAAATCTTTAGGCAAGACAAGTTCATCCTGATAAGAATCAAGGTGATCCTCTTGCTGCTGAAAAGTTTCAGGCAAGTTCTTTATTATACTGTCATCCATTTTCTTGTTTTTTATTTTATTTTGAGCATGTTAAGAGTTTACTTCTTGGACACGGAACAGGTTCTAGGTGAAGCATACCAGGTTCTGAGTGATCCTGTTCTTCGTGAAACGTATGATCAGACTGGGAAACTCTCAGCTCCCAAGTAATGTTTTTCTTCTTTCTTTTTGTATAAACAATGTTTTGTTTTTCTCTCTTCTTTCTCTGAGAATCTTAAAATGGTTTTTGATCATTCAGGGAAACGATGGTTGATCCAACAGCTGTTTTTGCTCTTCTCTTTGGAAGTGAGCTATTTGAGGATTATATTGGTCACTTGGCTGTTGCTTCAATGGCTTCTGAAACCGAAAACTCTGATCAGATTCATGACAAACTAAAGGCAACTAAAAACCATATATTATATAACTAAACATATCAATATATGATCTTACATAAGCAAAGATCATTCTTCCTTTGCAGGTTGTTCAGAGAGAAAGAGAAGAGAACCTAGCTAGGTTTCTCAAAGATTTTCTAAACCAATACGTCCATGGAGACAAAGATGGTTTCATACACCGTGCTGAATCTGAAGCCAAGAGACTATCAGATGCAGGTCTTGTCTCCTTCCCTTCTTTATTTCTTTGACTTGTTAGTCTCATTTTTATGAATGGGATTTGTTAATAGCTTTTGGAGCGGATATGTTGAATACAATTGGATATGTATACACAAGACAAGCAGCTCAAGAGCTTGGGAAGAGAGCTCTTTACTTAGGAGTTCCTTTTGTAGCTGAATGGGTTAGGAACAAAGGGCATTCTTGGAAATCTCAGATGAGTGCAGCAAAAGGTGCTTTTCAGTTACTTCAGCTGCAAGAAGAGAGTAACCGGAGATTCAAGAAAGATGGGACTAGTCCAGCTAATGAGTTGGAGTCTCATATTCAGACAAACAAAGAAACACTTATGGGATCTCTTTGGAAACTCAATGTGGTTGACATTGAAGTGACTTTGTTACATGTGTGTCAGATGGTGAGTTTTTTTTTTTTGAATCTTATGTTTGTTTGGATCACAAGATATGATGATGATTCTTGAAACAATGGTTAGGTATTGCGTGAAAACAACTTGAGAAAAGAGGAGCTTAAGTCTAGAGCAATGGCTCTCAAGATTCTTGGCAAGATTTTCCAGGTTTTTTTTCAATATATCAACATTGTCTGATCTTTGTTTCTTTGTGGCTGATTCAAGATTGTTGTTGCTTGTGCAGCAAGGAAAGCAAGCTAGGAACGGTGCAACATCAAGAAGAGAAGATGAAGACAGCAGTGATGATGATGATGATGATGACAGTAGCAGCGATGATGATTCTCAACAACCACTTTCATACAGAACTCCTCTGCTCACTCAGGTATAATTCACTTATGACACTGCTAAGTCAATAAACAGAGGTTTTAATTCTTGACTTCACATCTTTACAGGGGATTGGTAGACTCTTCAGATGTCTCTGCAATCCAGCATTTGATGTAGACGATGATGAGATTGTCTACAAAGGCAAATGATCACTACCACACGTTCACATTGATGGTCTCACATGTGAATGTGATTGCAACCACTAAGTTATTTATTCTTTATATATATTTGTAATGATGATGATTGATGGATCAAACTTTAACAAACTGTTAAAATAAGTACAAAAAAGGAAAAAGAACATGGATTGTTTGTACTTTGTAATCATTACAAGATTGCTTTTTAATTGTTTTGTTATTATTTTATTTCCCATTGGTGTTAATTCACAATCAAATTGAGTGTTTAACAACCATAAGGGCCAAATGATCTTACACAAATCTTTTTACTTAACAAAGAGAACTTAAAGCTTATCTGTCTGAAACATCAACCTCCCTTACCTCTTTAATATATTTGTTAGAACTTGAAGATAATTTACATTGTAACCAGTTCAAGGTTACTAGCATGGTCAAAGACTGGAAGAAAAAACTCAAACAAACAAGCTTTTATTTATGTAACCTCTACGCTTGCATGTACACACATGCCAAGGGAAAGAGAGATAGACCTCTCCTGTCTTTAACACTAGTTCAATGAGCCGGGTGAGGTAAAGCAGAGTGGGTGTGAGTGCGGTGAGCTTGGAGGATGCAAGCACAGTGAACCGATGTTAAGTTCAGACAACCACTCATGACAAGTGAATGCCTGCCTGAACAAGTGTGGAGCGCAGGGAATGTATCACAGACCGCTTGAACCGCTGAAGGTGTGAGGTAAGTGCATTGGCTAATGTTAAGGCTTCTTAGTCCTTCTTCATCAAATTTGCCTTTCTTAACTGATCTCCACATCTCGTGCTTGTTCTTCACTCCGCTTTGAGCTAACGAGTACATGGCCCTGTCTGTTATGTTTCTGCAATAGTATAGCCCCAATGACCTCAAGTGTACACAACGATTCGCTAAAGCCACCACACTCTCATCTGCAACAACAAGAAACGTCTCAGAGGTTAAGGAAACTCTGATCATGACCGGATCAGAGATTTATTAGATCAAAGGCATATTTTGGTTAATACTCTCTCCGTTTCATTTTAGTTGTGGTTTTAGTTTTTTTGCACACATATTTAGAAAACATTTAATTTTACATATTTTCAAAATAAAAACACAATTGTCTATTCTAACCATATTTCAACCAATAAAAGAATACAAAAATATATAAAGTTAAATTCTGCATCGCAACTATAAAACACACTTATGTTAAAACGAAAATTTTCTCTACAACTACATATAAACTGAAACATATGGAGTATTAACTAAAAAAAATTGACAGTTTAAGAGATGTGACCCATGCATAATACTATGTCATTTTGATATTTTTCACACAAATCAAAAAAAAAATTGAAATGCATCTATAATTAATACTAATTTTAAAATAAGTATAAATTGCACTGAAAATTCTATAATAATACTTTTTATGAAATGAAATAGTAGTTTTTAAAAATTTGGGGCTAATGTCAATTTTTCATCTTGTTGTGTCCGGCCCTAACTCTTAAACCGTAAAGTCTTATACATTAAGAATGTTTACCTGTAATAAGCACACAGCCACAGAGATCAAGGCTTATTAGATCAGGACAACCATAAGCTAAACTCATGACACCATCATCGCTTATATTCTCACACCATCCCAAGTTCAGTGACTGCATTTGACTACAGTTCTCTCCAATAGCCTGCATACATTTCGTTTCAGTTTGCTGACACATAGAGAGATAGTTAAATGTATAAATGGTACCTGCAATGCATTGTCAGATACAGCTTCCACACAACCACAAAGATTCAGAACTTTGAGCTTCCTACAAAACCTAGTCAGATAGGCCAAAGCAGTGTCGCTGAATGAACTGCAGCCGCTAAGGTTGAGTTTAGTGAGGTTAGTGCAACCGTGCGCTAGAGAATAGAGGGAGTGGTCAGTGAGTTTCAAGCTTTTGCTAAGGTCAAGATCTTGTAGCTCGTGACAGTGATTCGCTATGGCTTCCAATGCGTTGTCTTCGAGTTGTGGTTTGTCTTGTCTTAGTACTAATGTCTGAAGCTTGAAGAGTTTTGGAGCTAGAGACAGAACCAAACTGTTCATGTTCTTCTTGCACCTGTAAGAACATAACAATTAACATACATAAAAATAAAAATAAAATCCTCCTATCTTCTTACAAAATCTTGAAACTGAAACCATCATCAAGAAATTGAGTTTCATTAAGAAAGTTTGATAACTTCCAACCACATAAACCTACCAACATAACACCTATTCTACATATAAGTATCTTCTAATTAAAACATCATAACACAAACCACACAAACAATGAAACAAAGATAGAAGAAGAAGGTGTGTGCATACCATGAGAGGGAGAGATGACTGAGACCAAAGGAGATGGCATCTCTCCAGCCAGTGCAAACACCAGAAGCAGTGATGACCGTACGATCATCAACAAGGTTAAGGATCCTCATCAGAAGCTCAACAGGGATATCTTTCCACTCGGTGATCACGAGTCCTCCCATCTTCATCTTCTCAAAGCAAAGATTAAGTGATCCTCCTTCACTCACCATCTTCTTTAAGCGGTTTCTTGATTCTACCACCAAAAAAGAAACATAGATTAGGCAAAAAAACAGAGAGAGAGAAATGAAAAATACTAATATCTCTTGGAAAAACGACAAACGTAAGAGAATAAATAAAAATTGAAACTTAAAACGCAGTAAACAACATTAATGTCTCTGCGTAACTCTTTTTGTCAATAGCGTAGGACCAGACTCTCTCTTTTTTTTATCACTTTGGTTTCTTTTTTCCGCAAAAATAAAAATCCTATGTTAATTTTTTAAAGATTGATATAAATAAATGCTCTTACTTTGAATTATTTGCGACTCAGCAATGTTCTTGAATCTTCTTAGCTCTATGTAAAGTAAATGAATCCGTGGATACTCTTGTAGGATGATAAGGAGAGGAGAAACAGAATTATAAAAAAGGAGTTTGTATTATTAAAAGAGGCAAGACTAAACGTACGGGGAATGTCTATATAACACGTGAGCTGCCACGTGTCAGAGATTGACAGGTGATACATTACTATGAATCTATCTTAACTTCGACCTTTTCCTTATAGTTTCATAATTAATCAGAGTTGTAATATGTTGTAGCTTATAATAACGCGAAAGTTTCGGAAACACACATAAGGCAAGTTATCTAATGGAAATGGTTATTACTATGTAATTAACTAGATTAAATAATAGTACTTAAACATGATTTTAAAAAGTATATAACTTTTTTATAATCGACTAAATTTGAAGCCGAGTCGCATAATGAATGAATGAACACATATTTCAGGGGACCGTTGACCTCTCAAGGGGAAAACTTTCAAAATATTGTTTAATTAAATACAGAAAAATTAGGGGGAAAGCAAGAAAAGCTGGTAAAATCTTTTTCTTCATATCATGGACACCCCAAGCATGTATACTATGGTTTAGAGATTTTTTGGCGGTAATAATAACATCCATATAATGAATTAAGAGCCGAAGAAAAATCGCAAGAGCTACATGTCTTTGGGTTGGTGGGCACGTTTTTCAAATTCCTTTCCCACCAGTACTTCATTTCTCCACCCATGGGTTCACTAATTAAGATACTTACTGACACATTTTATTATTAACCAAAGTTACCTAATCTAGTAACAACAACATAATACAAATCATTGTATTACATGTTTATATTTGATTAATTTAGATTAAAAATGATTCACTTAAATATTTGTGTTTACTGTAGTATGAAAGTTATTAGACCGCTTTGATAAGCAAATATGTTTACTATATATATGATAACTTATTTAATAAAGGGATATTTTGATGAATAAATCATATATTTATTCTTTGGACATGTCAACGAATGATTCAGAACTTCTACCTTCAAGACATATCAGCTGGCCGGTTGGCTTTGTTTGTATGCTCAAGTAACATATAAAAAAAAAAAATCTTCAAGAACAGTTATACTTTTACATAATTACATATAAAAAGAAAATACGCAACTTGAATCTTAAACATAAACATGTTGTTTGATTGTTTCTGAGAGAACGAGTTTATATAATTCTTTTGTCTTGGGGTCACGCAACGCGATTATTAATTTAAGTATTGCTTAAAATACATAAGTGGACATTATTATTTAGAAAAGACATGGAAACAGCAAGCCATTTACTTTTTCTAGGTTAGAGTCTTTAGACTAGATAGCTAGGCTGGTAAGCCTTATCGGAGGCCGCACTCCATGCCGTTTTCGTTTATCGCTCCACTTTCTCACATCTACTCTTCATTAGCCTTTCTCAATTCAAGGGCCTATTTTTAGCTAAATTTATCAAGAGATTTTCATTTCACAAAAGCAAACCTTCCAATAGGAAAAATTCCATATTATTCTATTATAGACATGTTCAAATGGTTCAATTCCGGTCATACTATGACTAAGTAACCAAAACCCGGTTTTAGTTCGGTTTGATTTCCGGTAAACCACCAAAAACTCTGACCAAGTCAAAACACCCCACTAGAACTTCTACATCATTACATAATACACATTTTACAGTACATCATATCCACACAATGCAAACTGATTCATATAAAGTTACCTTTTCCCTCAAGGCAACAACTTCTCCAGCAAATTCCCAAAGAAGAAACTGGTTTTAGCCCATCCTCTTCCTGCTCCGGCTTGACCTTCTTCTTTCCATCTCTTGCTTGGAACCTTGTTCTTGACGTTAATCATCATACTGTGTCCGATCTCTCCACGTAATGCCTCGATTGTCTTCACGTCCACTGGATTCCCTGAAGCATCTCTCACGTAGAAGACGTTAACTGCTTGCTCTCCTACTGTTGTTACACCAGCTCTCGTCACTGAAAGCCCATGCTCTCTCAGAATTTTAGTCACTTCCGACAGTAGTCCAACTCTGTCCTTTGCGCACAGCTCCAAACTCCAACCCTAGAGTTCAATTTCAAACAGTTACTTAAGCACTTGTTGCCTTCTAATGCAAGAAACACCAAAATAGATGTGATAGTAACTTAAGCACTTGTTGCCTTCTTATGCAAGAAACACGAAAATAGATGTGACAGTAACTTAAGCACTTATTGCCTTCTAATGCAAGAAACACCAATATAGATGTGATAGTAACTTAAGCACTTGTTGCCTTCTAATGCAAGAAACACCAAAATCTATGTGTTTATGGGTTAATTGTCCTTTGCGCACAGCTCCAAACTCCAACCCTAAAGTTGAGTTTCAGACTGTAACTTAAGCATTTGTGCCTTCTAACGCAAGAAACATCAAAATAGATGTGATAGGAACTAAAGCGCTTGTTGCCTTCTAATGCAAGAAACACCAAAATAGATATGTTTTTAGGGTTAACTAACCTCGCTGACTCTTCTATGGATTGCAGCTTCTAGACATTTGATGACTCTCTCTTTCTCTCCTTCAGAGTCAAGAGTGCAACCATCTTTGTGTCTGATGAAATACTCCTGAGAAGCATGAGGACCGCTCGATGTAATCGTTGCGTGAAACACAATGTATTGCATATCCGTAAGCGTGCATACAATGTCGAACATGAGCTTGGCTCTATCCTCACAACTCACGTTGATCACAGAGTAATCTTTCTCTTCACAATTCTCAATGGTGATCTTTGGCACCGAACCATCAACCTTAGCCACTGCTTCGTAGTCTCTATCAGCGAAAAGCATCTGATGAAGCCTACGGTCAACATGAGTGGATCCAATGGAGAGACTTGTCCGAGCAAGTTTCTCATCTTCTTGTTCACATCCGCGGAGAACGAGGTTGAGCTGTTCTTCCATGGTAGCTAATCTTTGAGGATCATCAACGGCTCTAGAGGTTTCGTTGTCGTTCACATAGAGAACACACGCGATCCTACGGTTATGAGTCCATGCTTCTGCTGCCACCACGTTGAAGTGGAGGTCTGCTAGTACGGCTGAGACCTCAGACAAGAGACCAGGACGGTCACGAGCAATGATCTCGATGGATGTGTGGTCGCCTAATGAATGGACACCGACTCTTTTGCCTGGCCAAGTGTTTTGTGAAGCTGAAGCATAGCCCTTTGGTCCTAACACCTGACAAAGAAAACAAGAATCATATTTACACTGTAATAACAAATCAGTGCATATATATATCATGGGCATAGCCAAATGTAACATTGCCTTTGGATTCAGTTTTTTTTCGAGAATACAGGTCCTAGAATTATAGAAAAAATTATAATATATTTACTAAATTATTTACGGCGCATGATATATTAGAGCATCTCTAATTCCAATCCGTTAATGCTTAAACTCTATTTTATTTTCTATTACATAATAGAGTAAGAAATAGATTTACTCGATAAATGAACGCAAGATTTATTTTTTATTCTTTTACTCAATAAATAAATTTTCTATTTTGAAAGAAAAATGGAGTAATTCATTGGAGATGCTCTTATACAAATGGCACACTTATAGCTTTTGTAATTGCATACCTTCTCGATGTAGTCGATGGTTTTGCTATCAGTAACTTTGTTTCCTTGTTGATCAGTGACATGGAATACTATTAAGATGTGAAAACAGAACAAGTGAGATGCGTCATTGTAATGAATTTATTGTTGATGTTGTGAATGTATAAATGAGCAGTTAATTATTACCGTCCATGAACCATCCACCATCAGAAGAGATATAAGCTTTGGTGATAGTGAGATCAAGATCGGTTAGAACTTGCACAACTTCAAGTAGTATTCCAGGTTTGTTCATGCTATCAACCTATTAAATAAACACTCTCACACACGTCAAATTTTACTGACAATCATCAAATCGATTTAATCATAGAGAGAAGGATGCTTACCTTGACAAGAGTGCATTCTTTGCAGCTAGTGTTGTCTATAGAAACACTACACAACAAAAAAATATAGAGAAGTATGAGCTTCAAAACCAGTATCAAATAATGACACTTAATCTTAAATGTGAATTAAGTTGGTGATTATTACCTTGGAGGATTGATTCTGGTGCTCAAGTTCTCATATTCAGGATCGAAATACGGCCAGTAAACTTTAGCCATTAAAGAGAAAACAAGATCTTTCACGCTCTTCACACGTTCTGCAGTTAACCAGAAGAGCTTTTATATATCAGCAAGACAAGACAAAGGATAAGACGAAGCAGGCTTTAGTACAGTCTCTAAACAGCTTGCAAGAAGATAAGATATATTCGGAGATGTTGATAATAAGTGAATCTTGGCCAGTAAGTAACTAGACAGAAGAAGGGGAATCTAGACAAGATAGAGATAAAGATTTCATAAAGAGAGACCACAAACTGAGATTCTCTGAAAAGAAAACAAGAATCTCTCACTGCTCCTTCTCCAGTCCTTTCTCAACCAGAGAAAAAACATAAGAATAGATTCCTCAAAAGATCTCTTACTAAGAAAGCCAAAACTAAAATATATTTTCTTAACAACTGTTTTTATTCTTTCTCACAAGACTTGACATGAGATTCTCACTACTATTTGCATAAAGGAATCGATGCTTAGAAAGTAGCTGTCAAAGTAAAATGGAAATAAATATTTATTTAAATAGTAATAATAAAATAATAAATACTTTGATGTAAGAAGATTTTATTGGTGGTCAAAGATGGAATCTAAAATGATACACTGTATAAAATAATAAAAACACCAATTAAAACAATAT